TGTGATATTGCTGTTCTCTAAAATGCCCTAAGTTGTATACTGCACAAATATCATTAAACTCGCTTTTTCATTCAGCATATTTGACATCTATTCAGTTAATATATAGATCCAGTAAACTCATGTGAACTGCTACACCAGTCCACTGCACAGCTAGATGCCTTATTTATGTACTATTCCCTTACTGGTGGTTGGCCATCTTCCCACCCCATTAAACCAATTTCCCTCCAATTTTCAGTACTATAACAATTCTTTTTTTTTTTTTTTTATCCTCACCCGAGGACATTTTTCCATTTTTTGTTCAGGTAGAGTAGGAGGGAGAGAGAGGAACAGAGAGAGAGAGAGAGAAACATCGACGTGAAAGGAACACATCGAGTGGCTGCCACCCGCACAACCGACCAGGGCCGGGGACAAACTGCAACCGAGGTATGTGCCCTTAGCGGGAACCGAACCCGGGTCTCTCAGGACCGCAGGCCGATGCTCTAACCGCTGAACCAAACCGGCCAGGGCACTATAACAATTCTTAGTACATGTCTCATGGTGCAGGTGTGAACTTCTATATATCTAGAAATAAAATTCCTGGGCCATGAGGTATGCTTATTTTTTATTTTACTAAATATTGCTGAATTGATCTCCAAAGTGGTTATATCCATTTACAACTAACCAATGATGTCAGTTCTTGCCTTACCAACCCCCTTTGCCAACATTTGATACTATTGGACTTTTAAAATGTTTGCCCACCTGATGGGTAACTTTTGTGAGTCTGCTCTCTAAAATAATAACAAAAGAGGGATACTGGATATCAAGTCTTTACCTCCCTATGTCTTACCTAGATCGAAACTCCAGGGCTCCTCTAAAATGTGCATGGTTTTGTCTCATACCAAAACTGACTCAACTGATTTATCACCTGAGACGGGGCAATACCCATTGTCTAAAGTGAAATAAATATTCTCTCTCTTTAAGTTGATTGAAGATGTTTAGAAGGGACGAGGCTCCTTTCAGAAAAAAATTTGGACTATATCAGCTAAGTTGGTTCATACGCTCAAATGCTGTGATCATAAACTTCACTGCCTTATCACAGTGGGGTCTTGGCATCTCCCCACCACAGCCCCTGTCTGACTTCCAAACACAGCTTGCTGACATCAAGAAAAAGAGGCTTAGCAATCCACAGGGGCTTTGCCTATGGTCAGAAGTGGGGGAGTTTAGTTTCAGAGGCCACCAGAGGTACTGCAGCCTGGCTCTCCTACGTGCAGACTAGCACAAACCACTGCAGGGGCGTGGCAGCACTGCTTGGTGGCCCAGCCAACCCCCCCCCCCACTCCCCCACCCCCACCTTTCCCGGGACTGAGCAGTCAAATCAGGTGGCAAAACAGCCCAGCATAGGCTGCACACCACCATCCATCACCCACTTTGGCTCACCTTTCCCCAAAAGGCTTTTTGGACAAAACTCTGAAGAAGCAGACTACTCATTTTAGTCTAAGGCAGGCTCTTGGTGAAAAATGCAAGTTCCCAGAAAGTATGGTAGCATTAAGAATGGTCTTCATTTAGCTCTATCCCTAATGCACCAGAATTTGATGCTTCAAGTGATGACTCAAGGTATTATAAAACCTTCTAGTATTTACTAAATAAATAAACCACTTATACATCTCACAAGATCCTCCACAAGGTTGCAAGAAAACTCTGCTCAGATGAGTTAATTGGGATTTCAGTGTGGTTCCTCAGAATGATTCAGAAATAACAGTAATGTCAAATGAGTCACTTTCCCCAACTTGATCTCAGTCTTAGCTCTTGGTCAGAATAACACCTCCTGGCATGCCTTCATAAAAGCTGAAGCAAAATGGATTAACTCATGTAGTGTGAGCTTGTAATGCAAGAGTTGCATTTTATTTTCTACCTTCCTGCTCACAGCTACTTCCTCAGTTCTTCCACTGCCTCAACATTATGAAATAACCAGCTTTAAGAAATGAAATGGCTTTTCCTATGACTCCACATCAATGTTACAACATTCAAGGCTCAAAAGTAACTCCCATAAGGTACTAGCTCTGTTTGGAGTCACAGCTACCAAATTTGCCAAATCACTGAGGGTATGTTTAAAGACCCACTAATGTTCTTGGTTAAACTATAAATTCAACATTAAAATTATTTACTTTTAATGCAGTGCTTAAAATGAGAGCAGCTGTACTAGACAGGAAGAGACTAATGCCCCTATATTCTGACTCAAGTCCAGTAAAACTCAGAAATGAGTTCTAGGACATTCAGGCATTATTTATGTCCACTACTGCCCTTATCCCAAGAGGCTGCCATGCCCACCAAAGAAGGCTCGGGAATGCAGGTGCCCAGACTGGGCATAGAGCTCTGCTGTGCTGCACTTCTGCTCTTAGGGTAGTAGTATAGAGAGCCTAGGGACCTGGACCAACCATTTTTCACTTAGTTGAGACATTTTTAACTAGTGGAAATGCATGTTTCACTATTTGACTCACTGAAAGGGGAGAGGGGACTTTTTAACCTACGAAAATCACAATGTAGTTTCCCACTCACCCAATAAAGAGAATTCTCTCAAAAGCAGATACGTTGAAAGGTTGAGTCATCTTTCCCATAGAACCTCCCCTGACCCCCAACACAGCCTGCTGATGGGTTACATACTCAGCCCTTCTGAACAGCCCACTGTATTCCCAGCAGCATCCTGGAATAACCAGAGGACAAATTATTTGCTAACAATGTGGCAGGGTGAGAGTCCTGACCTAGGCCTCCTCTGTCACCCTAGGGAGTGGCCACACCCCCAGTACAGTAAGGAGGGGGCTACTGCCACCTGCCTCCAATCCTAATTTCACACTTAACCAGCTGGCTGAGCAAATTCTAGAAGCCAGGCAGGCCCTGACTGGTTTGGCTCAGCAATTAGAGCATCTCAGGAGGACCAATAGAAGCCAAGCAGGTGAGGATAAGAATGTAAAGATTTCAGTTTTGGGGTTGCAAGTTTGTTTCTACTCTTATAGCCAAACACTAAAGACTGAAATCCATTCGCCTTCCAATTGCCTTCCTTTGTCTAGAGGTCCTCATTTTCAGGAGACCAAAGAACCCCTGTTGCAAGTGGAGAGTTTCAAAGTAACATTATTAGTTACTTTGTAAACACTGTACCAGGATCCCTGAGGGGATTGGTTTCCAGGAGACTTCTAGTATTTAAAGACTCACAAAGATTAATTATGAGCTGTGTATGGGGGTGGCATTAAGATGAACCTTCATGTTCAATTATGTACTAATATGCTCAGTGACTAAAAGAATACATTTGGAGGCATTTCTTTTTGACATCTCAGCAGAGATTAGACACTGTACTGACTATTCAACATATACACTGTAGATTTGTGTATGGAAACCAATACTTCCAACAATCAGAAGAAAAATGTTACTCCTCGTTTGCAAACAAAAAACTGAGGTCCTGAGACTGAATTCCTTCCATTTTTTTTATCACTATATTAACGAGCCAAACCTGATCCTAAAAGCCTGTTGACAACTTCCCAATGCCTCTATCTATCATGCCTGGACGTCTTGTACAGGAGAGGATCGATATCCTGGTTTTGAAGAACATGGATAAGAAGCCAAAGGTGCCTTTCCATGACCTGGCCTTTAAATAACCTTCAGATTACAAAGTGCTTTCCTGTTTCTTCAAACCCAGTGTGATGACACCTTGTGAGGCCTCCTGGCACTCGCCCCTCCCGCCCCTCCCGCCTTCCCCAAGCAGGAAGGGCGACTTTCCTCCACCACACTAACCAGTGATAACATCTATATTCGTTCTCTAGTGAGATTGTGAGCTCTGTAGGCTATGACGGATCTAGTCATTCCGGTCTCCATCCCTTTCCCCAAAACAGCTCCTAGCGCAGAGTTTTCACTGAGTGAACGCAGTCCATGGCGCCAATCCCACACCTGCCCTATCCCACCCCGCATTTTACAATCCCGGCGCATCTGCTAAGCAATGTGAAGCACAGGCAAGGCCTCCGCGCCGCATGCGCGGCCGACCCGGCAGCCAGCGAGGCCTGGCGGGTTACGGCCGCGGGCCAGCAGTCCAGCGAGGGCGGGTCCCAGGCGCCGGCAGCTACGTGCAGCCTGGTCAGGGCGGAAAGGATTCCAGCGGAGTTCTTGGGGCGGGAGCAGCGCTGTGGCCACCCCCTCGAATCTGGGGCGCCCCAGGGGCACCCATCCTTTCTTCCCCTACTGCAGGGAAGGCCAAGGTTACATAATCCGGGACAACGCTGCATCCCGGCTGCACCCGGGCCAACCCTGCCCATCACAGACCACTGAACTTCGGGAGGTGACCGAGCCACGAGTCCGGGGCTCCAGGAGAGCACAGACTGGGATGCGCAATGGAGAAAGGACAGGACAGAGAAGGGAGATGGGGGGGCAGGGGAGTATGCGGACGTGACTAGAACGGAGTGGGAGGGGCGAGGACCGCGCGGCGCGGAGGACAAGGATGCGGAGGAGCTGACTTGACCCGAAAGGAGGGGAGGGGCGGAAAACGGGGCATGAATGGGCTAGGGGTGAGCATGTAGAGGGCACCAGGACCTGAGTGGGAAGGGATGGAGGATGGTGGGAGCTGGAGGAGTTTCATGGAGAGTTAACAAGAAAAGCATCAGAATGAGGGGGATACGGGCAGGTTGAAGACGAGGGGGCGAACTGAATAGTATTAAGGGACAAGGAGAGGAGGCATGCAAGGGAGCAGGGAGGAAGAGGGGAGATTAGGAGGGAATGTGGGTAGGCGAAGGTGGGACCAGAATGATGGTAGGGGTTGGGGCAGGAGAGAAGGTGGCAGACCCATCTAACTTTGAAAGAAACAGGAGCTGGGGGGCTTTGAAGAGCAGGCCCTGGGCGCGAGCGGCTTCACTCTTCCGACCCAACCAGGTCCAAGATGCCCAGGATCCAGCGCCGCCGCGAAAAAGGTGCCGGGATTCCGCACTAGTCGGGCCGTCGGAGCCCAGGTGGGAACGGATGGCCCAACCTCTGCCCCGGCTCACCTCCGGCGTGTTCCGGCTCAAGCTACTGCAGAGAGATGCGGAGAGTCCGAGGACGTCGCTCCTGTGCGGAATCGGCTGTCTCTGCCTCAAGGTTATCCCGACTGCAGGGCCGCCGCAATCCCTCCGCCGCCCCGCCCCGCCCCGCCCCGCCCCCACCCAGTCCTGGCTTCCGGCTCGCCCGCCGGCCCGCCCTTCTGCGGGCTCACTGAGAGCAGTCACTTCAGGAGGAAGTGCCGCAAGGCCTGAACCGGCAGGCAGGTTGCTCTTTTGGAGAGGACTACATTCTATGGCGGAAGGACACCGCACATTAACTGAAACATTGGTCGCTCGCTGGAGGCCAATGGGGAAGCGAAGAGGCGCCAGGCCCCGCCCTCGGAGTCCTGGAGACCTTCCTCCCAGACCCTTGGGCGCCTGGGCCACCTGTTGCCGCCAATTAGCACGCTGGAGGAGAGCTCTTAACTTGATCCTCAGTCCAGGCCAGCCCAGGTGCCCTGGCCTATTGGTCCGTGCCCGGATTTATGGGTCCCCCGGCAACATTCCCCCAGCGCCGCCCCGCGACCCCCCAACCCGGGTGCCTGCCCCAGCGACACCTCGGGGACTGAGCCGAACAGGAGGTTGAGTAGCCTGAGATGGGATCAGAAGGTGGGGAAGTGATGGAAATTCGTGGGATGGTTGGAGGTTGGACCCGCCTTGGGGTGCTCGGGCACGGGAGTTGGGGAAGGGAGAATTGAGGGAGCAATCAATGTACGTGGAGCTGGAGCGCGAGGCCCTTCTGTTCTTAAAAGGAAGGGAAACTTGGGGCCATGTGAATACTTTAGAAGGGCTGGAATCGCTGTGAGTAGAAAGTGTATAGAAGGTATTAATATTAGTGCAGAACTGACCATCAGGAAATGCCAAGTCAGAACGTGACAATGATCTTTGCTGGAGTCAGCATTTGTTTTCAACCTTGGGTATTTAAGTGAATGCTGTTGTTTTTCTTACATTTTCTCCAAGGCATTTTCCAGTTTCTCAGTAATGAGTAAACAACCAGTGATAATAGCACTTATCAATGAAACAGCTGTTAACCCTTGCCTTTATTCAGCCAGGTTTTAAGAACAGATACAATGTTGCTTCACTAAAAATCGTGAGGACTTTTTCTTTTAGGTTCTTTGGTTTTCCTGAAAAATGAGACCAATGGGTGTGACCTGCCCAGGCAGTCACTCCTGCCTGCAGCTGAATCACAGGCCTTCATTACGCCTTCCTTTAGCTCAGATAAACTGGGAGGAAAAAGTGAGCCTAAAAGTAAATTTCAGTTTGAGATAAAATCTTTTAATTTCTTCTTTGAGCCTATTCGGGTCCCTTGGTTGAAGATAGGAAGTAAAAGCTTGTTTATTGAAGTGGGGAGAGCACATGAAGTTGTTGAGAAGACAAAAAGGCCATTGCCTTACCAGGGAGAATCATATTCCTCCCTATCAAGAGAAAGAGGAACAACATAAATGACCCTCTCTGGCCCCTAAGCTAAGGATGAACTAAGTACAGTGATGGACAACACTAGGGATATGGGGGATAGAAGGGGACAATGATCTGGTCATTGCTGTACTATGTTGCATTTAAAATTCTAAATCTGTATTTCCAAGACTGAAATGCACATCTGTTAACCTAGATAGTTGGTGGCAAACTACTGTCACCAACAGTTTTAAAATGCTGTCCACGAAACTCTGAGAGACAAATCCAACATATCCTTGCTCACATTAGATGCATAGTGAAAATTTGTCACATTGAGTTTAAAGTGATTACCGTTTTGCTGAAAAGCAGCATAGTAGAGAAGAAAACTTGGGTTCTGTCATATCGTTGTTCCAATTTCACTCACTAGCCCTATGACTATATCCTGTAAGAGCCCACTTTCTTAAAAGTAAACTAAACACAATTCCTGCTCTATAGGGTGGGGTTTGATCAGATGATATGTATGAATGAGTACAGTACAGGGCCCTACAGGCATCCTCTTTCTTTGGGAATTGACTAGTCTGGTGGATTGTCCTTGTGACTGGTGTCAGGACATCTTTCTAAATTCAAATAACTGTTTGCCTTTCTATTGACCATTCTCCTGAATCCTCACTCCCTTGGCCCAGCAAGAAGTAACCCCAGGACTACAGGAAACTGGAAAGCTGAGGAAGGACACAGACTCTCCTAGACACCAGGCTCCTCCCCCTAGAGCCAGCCCTTCCACTGTACTCACTGACCTGGCTGGACTGGAGGGGTAGCCACTAGATTCACTGGACTGGGATGTGAATGAGGATACAGATTGCTGTGTTACCTGTTTGGATTCTGGGCCACAGAACCACAGAATCTGGAGTTCAATACTTTAACTCTTGAAGACCATTTGGAGTCCCTGGTGGGGTAGGTGTGTCAGCAAATGATGCTAGATCCAATCTTGGAGCTCAAAGATAGGCTCTGAGCCTGGTTATAGGCTTTACCATTATGTGACCATGTGGCCTCTGCCTGAAACAGCAATGTTATTTCTCTGTCAGGACAATACAGATTTCCAGGGCAGCTCATAGGTCCTGAATGTCAAGCAGAAGCGTTTATTACTTTGGACTTTATTTTTTTTTTGGACTTTATATGCCCTTTCCAGAGCCAGACCAAATAGACTTTTACATTTATTCTGTGCCTTACTTTAGACTCCCAAGATCTCTTCAGGCTCATCAGGGTGGCACAAAATCTTAATTCCAGAGTTCCCTCCAGAAAATCCTAGATGGAAGAGAAAGTTGGCCTTTTGGAGTGAAGGATGAAGGACAACAGGTTGTCTGGGAAAGATTTCACCGAGGAAGTGGTGGAGGGTTGGTTAGGGCAGAGATGGGCATAGGAAGGCCATTCCAGGGGGAAAGGAACAGTAAAGAATGTTTTCTGAATGCAACTGTGTATCTATCTGATACCCCCTCCTGAAGAAATGCCCTATTAGCACTTAGAGGCAAGAGGGAAGAAGCAGAGGTATTGCTTCAGCCAAGGTGACCCTGATGTTAACCTCCAGCAATCTTTTTCTAGTCCAGGACTGACAGGGCTCACAGGACAAGCCTCCTTAAGGAAGGTTAATCCTGCCACCAAACCCTTTCTCCTTGGAGGCCCTGTGCTGTCTCCTTTTTCTCTACAAGTGTAGCCAGAGCTCAAGCTCCCTAAGATGCAAATGTAAACACATCCTATCTCCAAAAAGTAAGATTTGGAGGACCAAGAAAGGCATCAGTAAAAAATAGAGTGCCCCTTTCCCCAGGAAGTCTTGTTGCAATTCAAAGTCTGCTTTGATTTGGCACCTTGCTTCTAGTCTCCACCTCCCTACTCACTGGCTACCAGCTAACATGCCCACTTATCCCAAAAATGACATCTGGGACTAAGGAAAGCTTGGTCTCTCCCCGGGATAAAGTAATTTTGGTAGACATTACTTTAACTTAATGGCATCTTTGGCCTTACTGCAGGGAGGTTCTGAAATATTTATGGAAAGTCCTATACACCAGAGAGAATGATGCCCCTTCAAATGAATTAAGCCTACTTTATTCCTACCTTTTCTGGGAGGAGGGTTCTAGGGGAATTCTTTGACCCAGGAATTCCTTCCCACCACTCCTAAATTGGGCCCAGAAGCTGAGAAACTGGTAAGTAACCCGGTTATGACTCAGAACCAGACTCTTCCCTCCCTCTCCCTACAGGCCAGAATGAAAGGCAGAATCAGCCCTGGCTGGTTTGGCTCAGCGGTTAGTTTGGCTCAGTTGGCCCTCAGACCAAAGAGTCACCAGTTCAATTCCAGTCAAGGGCACCTATCTCCGTTGCAGGAGGCAACCAATCGATGTGTCTTTCTCACACTGATGTTTCTCTCCTCTCTCTCTCTCTCCCACTCTATGTGAAATTAAATGGAAACTTATCCTTGGGTGAGGATTTAAAAAAAAAAGAAAGGCAGAATCAAGCAGGAGGATCCTCCCCTATGGATGGTTACTTCCTCACCACAGACTGAGTCATAGTCACACCCTACATGGACGGAAAATTACCATGAGAGGAAAAGAGAAAGTTAAATATCTAGGGTTTTTGAGTTCTCAGTCCAAAAATCACAGCCATCTACTCTCCACCTGGAATTAATAGTTATTTTTCCTGGCCCTGGGTCCTATCCCTAACTAAGCATGTTGCGGTCTAAATGAAGTATGGCTGCTTGAGCCCAGGACTATATGAAAGGTAGGAAGCCACTGTCAACCTCTTTGTGCAGTATCTGTAATAGTCTTAGCCTCTGTGAAGGGCAGTCTCTTGCTCAACCCTGGTTTTCACAAGTCCCACTGCCCCCCCTCCAAGGTAGCCAGGTGTGGGTGGGGGAAAGGGGCAATAGTCCCCCAACTCCCAATCCAAGCTGTGGGAGGATTCCACTCTGGAAGCTCAGGGCCCCATCTAGCAAGTTACCCTGCAATAAAGGCATTCTTGTTATAGGGTTTTAATTACATTTGTTTTACATAGATGTTTTGTATTTTTTTAGCTATGATTATGTATGCTTTCAAACACACACACACTATGAAGTGGGGTTCAGTAAGCCTTCACTTAATGTTGTTGTCAGTAGCTTTCTGTTACTTTAAGGGAAACAGCATGCAGCTAGACCAATTTTACCACAGGCTAATTGGTATAAACAAGAGTTAAGTTCCTATGACATCTCACTGACATTGTAAAGACATGTTACTTTTTAATTTAATTACATTACAATTCTTTGGCATAAAAAAAAAAAGACCATCATGCTTATATTCTCTGGACCGCAGGCCGACGCTCTAACCGCTGAACCAAACCGGCCAGGGCATCATCATGCTTATATTCTAAAAATAGACATCTATGAGACTAGCTCAGGTATTTGAGTTTCTCTGGTAGTATACCCTATCTGTTCATTACTTCTCATTCCATGATTTACTATTACTTGCTGTCACCTGTCACTGATAAAGAAAAATGGTAAGAAATACTTACAACTGAGAAAAATTGACAATTTAGAAAAACAGAGCAAAAATTTTATACCATTTGAGTAGTCAAGCACCTAGGTTAACCTGCTGGAACACCAGTGGGAGCAGTCTGAGAACCTCAGGGGAAGTAAAAGAATGGTTAAGAGCTCAGGTCCTGGAGTTGGGCAGATCTGGTTAACTCCATCACTGCCACTAATCAGCTGTGAGACCCTGGACACATTAAGAGCTCTAGAAAAAACTTATCTTCTGCCTTTTGTTGTCAGGATTAAATGAAAACATTTGTAAAATTTGAAAGGCTATCTAGTATAAAATCAGAACAGCAGTTCTGGAGTCAGGTTGCTTATCAGTTGCTAGCTGTGGAACATGGGCAAATCACTATCTTCTGTGCCTAATAGGAATAATGGCACCTACTTTATAGGCTTGTTGTGAGAATTAGTCAATACATGTAGAGAGCTTACAATGCCAAGCACATAGTAAGTAAGCCAAAGTGTTAGCAAATTATTAGCATAATGTCTAGCACCTACTTAGTAAAACTTATTTGTCTCTGATACTGTACAGATAAGCTGCAAGGGTCATCCCAGGAATGTCATCTAGGGTGGGCTCCCTGATGGGGTCATTTACTGAGTAAAGAGGGTTTCTGCTAGACCTGAAACCAGAATGGGAAGAGAGCCTTAGGAGACTTGTAGAGTCAGAATGTAGTAGCCTTGATCAAGAATGGGTAAAGAAGTTAAAGAAACAGCTCCTGGGCGGGGGGTGGGGAGGGTGGGGGGGGTGGACCTTAAGAATGATACTTCTGCCCTGGCAGGTGGGCTTAGTGGTTAAGAGCGTTGTTCTGAGGACCAAAGAGTCGCGAGTTTGATCCAGTCAAGGGCACGTACCTCAGTTGCAGTTCGGTCCCCAGCCCTGGTCCGGGTCATGCGGGAAGCAGCCAGCCAATGTGTCTCTCTCACATCGATGTTTCTCTCTCTCTCTCTCCCTCCTTCCCACTCTATCTGAAGATAAATGGAAAAAACTATTCTCAGGTGAGGATTTAAAAAAAAAAAAAAGAGTGTTGGCCTACATACCAAAGGATCTCGGGTTCAATTACCAGTCTGGGGCTCTTACCTGGGTTGCAGGTTTGATTCCCCGCCCCAGTTGGGCACATGGGAGAGGCAGCCAATTGATGTGTCTCTCTCACATCAATGTTCTCCTTCCATTCTCTCTAAAAATCAGTAGAAAAAAATATTGTCGGGTGAGGATTAACAAAACAAAACATAACAAAAAAGAATGGTACTTCCAAGTGAAGGTAAGTCAGGAACTACAACACTGGCAAGGAACCCAGGCAAAGTTGCTTATCTCCAAAGTAGGGTGAAGGTAAGGAAAGAAAATAGCTGATCTAGCACAGGCTTTGTAAATCAAGAAGCTATAACAATTAAAAAAAACCTATATAGGCAGAACTTGTTTATTTTATTTATTAATTGAAATCATTGGAAGGCAGGCCTTATTTTATTGCACTTCACAGATGTTGTGTCTTCTTACAAACTGAAGGCAATACCCTCCCATCAGCAAAAAGATTACGACTTACTTTATTGCAATATTTGCTTTACTGCAGTGGTCTGGAATCAAACCCACAGTATCGCCAAGGTATGCTTATATTTGAAAAGCCAGGCTTGTTTAAATGCTTTTAAAATTTTTTCTGTACTTATATTCCTATTTTTCTTCATTAATATTTCAACTAACCTAGGTTTTAGGTACATGGAAGACAAAGGCCAGCAGAGGTTGGTAGTGGGAATTTCAACAGGAAGATGGATTTCACTGAAACAATTAGATCTAGAATCAGCTGTCTTCCCTCACCTTGCTGGCTGGCCTTGGAGAATCTGGATTTTATTTCATTATGGGAGGCTGCATTTCCTTAGAATTTTTTTTTAGATTTCAAGTTAGAGACAAATCCAACTGTCAGCTCTCCCCCCACTTCCCTATCCCAAAGAAGTAGCTGGGAGGAGGAAGAGAGTAAGAGCCCAGCCCCTGAGATACAGAGCAAGGGAAAATAGATAGGTTTTGTGCAGAAAGCAGAGGTCCTAATATGACCTAATTTCCAGGTGTAGGAAATCTGAGTTATTTTGGTTTCAATGGTCCTTTCAAAACTTGAGGAACAGCTAGTCAGTGGTATTTATTCTATATCCATCTCAGTTTGTGTCATCTGCATAACTGTTAATACCCCTTATCTAATCAATTGGTTAAAATATTGACATATCTGTATTAGAGTATACTAGATGGACTCAGCTTTGACTCCACCCAACTTAAATGGTCCCAATCCTCACGATATTCCACACTCCCCACACCCACCCCCATTTAGGGACTTTGGGCAGGTGCTGGGCTAAGGCCAGTCAAACCACAGTGATCATATCCAGTCCACAGCACCTTCCATTTTATTGTTTTATTTACAAATAGAGTGAAGTCAACTGGGAAAATCGGGTAGGGGGTCAGTCTGGGCCATCCAAATGTGGAGTGGTTCCTGGGTCGATCTCCACCATGAAGGCCGTCTCTTCTATCCTTTTCCTGCCCCCTGGTAATGGCCCCTTGATTCCTCAGGGCAGCCTTGCTTACTGCTCCTGAGCCCTTTAATAAGGGCAGATGGATCCTGGGGGAACAGGTGGTACGAGGGCTGGGGCTCCCTCAGTTTGTGTAAACCTGAGTTCCGATCACACGCATGATTTCCTTCTGTATCTTGGGGTCCTGAGTATTAATGTTGGCATCGCCCACCTGACCATCCTCATATCTGCCAAAGATAGGGCAAGTGTGAGCATAAGAGGGAGAACAATACTAGAAATAATGTCAACCAGCAGAACTGTATTTGGAAGTCGGCCATCCCAGAAGTGAAATCCCTTTCTTGGTTCTCCTTAGGGTGAGAGATTCAACTTATTAGATTTTCCAAACAGACCCTGATATATAGACATCCCTAACCTCCAAGGGGAAAGTCTCAGTGCCAGCTGCACTCAAGTAGCCAGGGGCAAGTATCAGATAACAGTAGTCACACACCAGCACACCCCAACCCTCACTCCTCAGAGTAATTCCCAAGGTACCCTCCTAGACTTACACAAAGAAGAACCGTGTGCAGACATGGTCGGACACAGGGCACACCCAGATGTTCCCATGCTTCTGGAGGTCTTTAGATGTAATCACTGAGAAGAAGGGGATCAGAAGTTATATATATATATAATGCTTAGAACAGAGTCTAGGCAAGGGAGGGAAGACATGATACTTCAACCGTCACTCTTGGCTGGATTATATGCCATAGCTGCACCAAAGAGAAAGGTTGGGGACCCAGAAAAACAGGGACTACCTACCTTCACAAAGTGCTATACAGTTTAGATTCCGACTCTGCAGGAACCTTGACTGAATGGATCGGGTCTGGAAGAGAAAGAGAGCAGACCCAGGTAGACTATTATAGCTTTCCCTATAGAGAGGATGGTTAGCTGGTGATGAGTGGGGTCAGGGATATCCTGGGCTCCCAGCCACCCCCTCCCCCTGACACCAAATTTTACTTTCCCATAATCAGTCTGGATGAGTCCACAGTTTCCATCTTTACATTTTCATGTCACTGCATTTTTTCATAAACTCAATCTCTGCTTTCATACTTATGACTAAAGCCACTTATGACTCTGAAAGTGTGTTAATCTTAGCATGTACTTGATTCTGTCAAATGATCTTCAAACTACCCTCCATTCCCACTATTGTTTCCCAATTCATCTCTGTAGCTGAAACATCCCTGGAGAAGGGTCCTGCTTCACTGGAGCAGGACCAACTAATAATACCTGGGGGATGGTATTCATCCTGTTATATCTCTGGACCAGCTCATCCTTGGAGGGCATCCTGTGCTGTCCTTTTCCCATTCCTGTCACAGAACAACAAACTCAGTTCATTCAACCATTCCTAATCAAACATTTACTCAAGTGCCTACTATGTGCCAGGCACTGAGCTAGACACTTGGCAATACAGTGGTGAATAAAACAAACAAGATACCTTTCTTCACAAAATTTAGTCTGGTGGAGAGCACAGGCAAAGAACAAGTAATTACAACACAGTATGGCAAGTGTTGTGATGGAGAGAATACAGAGCATTGTGTAAGCCAGAGGCAGAGAAGGGACCTAGCCTATGGGTCTGAATAAGGCTAGACTAAGAATTCTATGATCAGAGAGAGTTAGTTATAAAGAGGGGGCAGTGTTCTGGGCAGAGGTACTAGGATACAGAAGGCCTGGAGGGAAAAAAGCAGTATGCCCTAGTTTGTACGGAATATAGTCATGACAGAGGAGTGGTCTAAGAGGTGAGCTAGGATCAGGTCGAGCAGGCCTTGTAGGTCATGTTAAAGCAACTAGAGTTTATCCTGAGAACATCAGGGAATCACTGCAGGGTCCTCCAATAGGGGAGTAACACAAATAATGAGACAGGAATGAGGTGCCTAAGGCAGTATGCCTATTGACCTGACATCAACACCTCAGATCAAATGCCAGGCTGAGTGAAATGAGTAGAGAGGAAGCAAGCAGAGCAAGTCAGATCTGCTCTATTCTCAAAGTTACATAAAATACTGTGACCAGAGTCATGCAAGAGAAACAGCAGTTAAGTGATAATCTCCCACAGATAACCACAATGGCAAAAACCTTGAAGGATCCTGCTTCCATCAGAAAGTCTTCCCACACTTTAGGAAGTGGTGCCCATTCCCTACAGTTTGCGCCCTATCTAAATCCGTAAGTTCTCCACCATCCTACCTACCAATGAATAGTCCTGTTTATAACATTTATGGACTCATTCTGGATTTTTCTTAGATAGGAAACAGTGTTTGTGTGCCCTGTTCCCAACTCTTTTTGGCCTGTGATTAGGTCTTCAGTCTGTATGCCCAGCTTTAGCACAGGCCTGGCCTTATCAGAGTCTTGTGTGTGTGTATGATACTGAGGAAGATGGATGAAGATGGGAAATTATGCTATCATTACAGGTCATAAGCAGGGCCCTTATCAACCACTCCACCATGGAACTTCCTATTATTACTAACTCCACTCTGCTTCAATTTTTGGTCTTGTGATAGCCATGGTGTAGCTGTGGGAATAACTGGACTGACATTCTTCACTGCTCCAGCTGTCAATTCATCATGCACTCACACTAAAGTCCCATGATAGAATTATGACCTGAACAAAACACAGGGCAATAAGAACTTCAAGACTTGAACTGCTTATTTCTTCCTCCTACAGACACTTACCATCTGTTTCCACCTTCTCCATTAGCCTGAACTAGGTTTAGCATGCGTCTAAACATTACCTTCTCAGCCTGGGTATTTCAGTGCAAGATTCTGAGTGAAATTCTCATTTAGGTTCTACCTCAGAGGAGGATAGGAAAGAACGATCTAATTTCTATGGCTGGTCCTAGGATGACTCTTATGATATAATATAAATCTTGTCCCATCCTAATCCTGTTGTACATACTGCCCCAGTGATCTTTAGTCAGTTTCCCAAGGCCAGACTCTTGAGAACATGATGGCTAGAATAATCCCTGGATGTTCTGTGTCCAAAGTATATACTTATTCCAAGTCTCAAAACAGGACTAAATATGTGGAGTTTACCATATCCTTTCTCACTGGCCCTCATTTTAATGTACATACTCTGGCCAAGTCACTGGAGGCTCCACTAGTCAAAAAAATGCTCTCTACACTGGTCCCAGAAAGCACCCAATGCCACTGGCTAAGGATACTCCGAGAAAGAACAGAGAAAAGCAGAGCAGAATAGGTGGAAGGAAATACACAATAAGATAAAGTTGATCAAATGCTAGAGTAATTACAGTAAATTGGACACTTTCACACATTTCACCCACTGTTATATAGACTCAAATATCGATGGGGCCCTCATAGAGTCAGTCATTCAAACAAAGCCTAACCTGTTGGTACAATAAAATGGTAAGAACATTATCCTAGAAGTTATGAAATCTGGATTCCTGTCTGTCTTAGCTCTGCTACTCATAGCTGTGTGACCACAAAGTCATTTAACTACTCTGAGTTTCAGCTTTCTTATCTAAATAATACAGGATTAGACATGATGACCTTTAACTCTAATAGTAAAATCCTATGGTATTTCGTATCTGTAATCAATTGACCTTTTAGAGAAGGATGGTATCATATGATGTTTTTAAGTAATCAGTAAAGTGATAAAGAAAGATGTCAGCAGAGACTCCTGGCTCCATCTGATAACTAATGGTATTCAGGCATTCGGTGGTAAACAAAGGCCAGTGACAGAGGGTGAGAATAGGGAGAAAATAGGAAAAAAGAATCTTGTGCCGAGCTGGTGTGGCTCAGTGGATTGAGTGTCATCCCATGGCTGAGTCAGTTCAATTCCCAGTCAGGACACATGCCTGGGTTGCGGGCTCGATCCCTAGTAGGGGGCATGCAGGAGGCAGCCCATCCATGTATCTCTCACATTGATGTTTCTATTTCTCTCTCTAATAAAAACATATTTTTTAAAAATCTTGTGGGAACTGAGAATCAGGAGAATTTCACTATTTTGAAAATAATAAGAACTTAATAGAAGCAAGCTCAGGCTGGGACACAGATAAAAATTGAGGAACCTAGACAAAGAAGCCAAAAAGACTACCCAACCCCACCCCACTTTAGACCCCAGGCACACAGAATAAGATCCATGTACACATTTAATAAATATTTATTGGGCACTTACCCTGTGTGGATTAATCCTAATGTTCATGATACACTGTCATTTATTTAATAGAACAATGAATACCTACAGACCCAATCTAAGAATTAAATCCAAGAACTAAAACATTACTGGTGACTTACATTTAACTATGTGCTCCTACCCTATCCCAACTCTATGTCTCCCCTTGGGAGGTAACCACCATCTTGAAATTTCATTAGTTTGATCACACACCCATACACACCTAAAAAATCTTTAATTTTGTTTGTTTTTGAACAATATAAAAAAGGCAGCATAGTCTTCTGGGCTTGTCTTTTTTTACTCAACTTATTACTAAGATTTTTCCATGTGTTGAATGCCACTGTTTGTTCATTTTCATTAATAACAATTGTGAGAATGTATTAAAATGTATTTATCCATTCTCCTGATTTGGGTTGTTTCCAAGATTCGCTGTTGCAAACAGTAATGCTTTGAACATATGTGTACACATCTTTGGGTACACATATGTAGGACTGAAAATGCAGGGTCACTGGGATAAAATTTCTCAGCTTTAATTTAACACCAAGTGGTTGTACCAATTTATATCCTCATAAGCAATAAAAGAGATCCTGATGATCTACAAACTCTGGTATAATCAGAGGTATTATCACATTTCTTAATTTTTGCTAGTACATATGCATGCTAAAATGGTAAATCCTTTTGGTCTTGATTTTACTTTCTTGATTAATAGTGGTTGAGCAGCTTTTCACATTTTACATTTCAGTGGCATGCCTGTTGATGTCCTCTGCCTATTTTTATGTTGGCTTTTTTTCTTGTTTATTTTCAAGTTTTTAAAATCCTCACCTGAGCAGTGGAACAGAACAGAGAACCCAGAAATGGACCCAAGGCAATATGCTCAATTAATATTAGACAAAGGTGGCAAGAGCATACAGTGGAGTAAAGACAGCCTCTTTAATAAATGGTGCTGGGAAAATTGGACAACTACATGCAGAAAAATGAAACTAGACCATCAACTTACACCCTACACAAGAATAAACTCAAAATGGATAAAAGACTTAAATGTGACTCATGAATCCATAAAAATCCTAGAAGAAACTGTAGGCAACAAAATTTCAGACATCATACCCAGCAGAATTTTCACTGATACATCACCTAAGGCAATAGAAACAAAGGAGAAAAGGAACACATGGGACTACATCAAACTAAAAAGCTTCTGCACAGCGAAAGATACAATCATCAAAACGGAAAGGCTATCCACTGTATGGGAGAGCATAATTGCCAATGATATATCAGATAAGGGGTTAATTTCCAATATATATAGAGTGCTCATACAATGCAACAAAAGCAAGACAAAGAACCCAATTAAAAAATGGGCAGAGGAACTAAATAGACACCTCTCCAAACAGGACATACAAATGACTAAGAGACATATGAAGAAATGCTCAACATCACTAATCATCAGAGAGATGCAAATTAAAACAACAATGAGGTATCACCTCATACCTGCCAGAATGGTCGCCATCAACAAATCATCAAACAACAAGTGTTGGTGAGGCTGTGGAGAAAAGGGGACTCTAGTACACTGCTGGTGGGAATGCAGACTGGTGCAGCCACTATGGAAAACACTATGGTGTTACCTCAAAAAATTAAAAATTGAACTTCCATTTGACCCAGTGATCCCACTTCTAGGAATATACCCTAAGAAGCCTGAAACACCAATCAGAAAGAATATATGTACCCCCATGTTTGTAACATCACTATTTACAATAGCTAAGATCTGGAAACAGCGCAAGTGTCTATCAGTAGACGAATGGATAACAACGCAGTGGTACATATACACAATGGAGTACTACGCAGCTGTAAGAAAGAAAGACCTCTTATCCTTTGAGACAACATGGAGGGACCTGGAAAGTATCATCCTAAGTGAAACAAGCCAAACAGAGAAAGACAAGTATCATATGATCTCACTTATTTGTGGAATATAATGAACATAACAGTCTGAGGAATGGGGTAGTCCCAGAGACGTGGAAGTGGGGTACAGACTGACAATCCCCAGAAGAGGGGGTGGTGGGGGAGAGATAAACCACAGAACTTATATGCATGTATGCATGAATAGTGGACGTGGACAACAAACTGGGGACAGGGCGGGGGGGGGGGATCAGTGGGGGGAGGAGGAGAAACATCTGTAACAAAAATTAATTAATAAAAAAAATTTAAAAAAAAAAAAAAGTACTTTCCTAAAAAATCCTCACCTGAGGATATACTTTTCATTTTTAGAGAGAGAGGAAGGGGGAGAGAGAGACTGAACCCGAAACCTTTTGGTGCACAGGATGGTGCTCCAAAACTGAAAAAGTGAGCCACCCGGCCAGGGCAATTTGTAAGAATTTTTAAAATATATTTTTATTACTGATCTTTTGTAATTATATGTGTTGCAAATGTCTTCTCCTGGTTTGTAGCTTGTCTTTTCACTTTGTTTTTCTTTTCACTTTAAGATGTCTTCTGATAAACAAAAGTTATTAGTTTTAACAAAGCCAAATTTACCAATATTTTATGACTTGTTCCATTTTCTTCTATTCTCTGGATGATTCTGTGTAAAATTGTGTAATAATCTGTTCCTTGAAAAGTTTAGACCTGAAAACTATCTGAGCTAGGTGGGTTTTTGGGGTTTTTTTGGGGGGGGGTTAAAATTTTAAACTACAATGTCTTTTATAGTTTTAGGGTTATTTAGGCTTTCTATGTCTTCTTGAATCAGTTTTTGGTTATAATTTTCTAGGAATTTACCCATTTTGTCAAAGTTTTCAAAGAATTGGCATAAAGTTGACAAAATTCTCCCCATAGCTTTTTAAATTTTGCTATATCTGTAATTATGTTCCCTTTTTCATTCATCTAATAATGCTCTTTTTCTTCAATCTAACCAACTATATCTTCTTTTTTTTTAAGTTCTTTAAAAGAACCAACTTCTGCCCTGGCTGATTTGGCTCAGCGGTTAGAGCGTCGGCCTTCGGTCCAGAGAGACCCGGGTTCAGTTCCCGCTAAGGGCACATACCTTAGTTGCAGTTTGTCTCCGGCCCTGGTTGGGTTGTGCGGGTGGCAACCACTTGATGTGTCCCTTTCACGTCGATGTTTCTCTCTCCCTCTCTCTCTCTCTCTCTCTCCCTCCCTCCCTTCCGCCCTCCCTCCCTCTCACTCTATCTGAACAAAATATGGAAAAATGTCCTCGGGTGAGGATTAAATACATACATACATACATACATACATACATACATACATACCTAAATAAAAATAAAAGAACCAACTTTCAGCTTTTTTGGTTCTATTGTACCTGTTTTTATTTGGCGATTTTGGTTCTTACCTATATTATCTCTTTTCTTCTACTTTGTTTGGCTTACTCTATTGTCAGAGACGTTTCTAGTTCTGAGCCTCTGGACCTAAGTTTTCTAATCTTTTATAACAGTTACAAATTACTAGCAGATACTAAATAATGATCTATAAAGCACTGTACCCTTCACATTGTAGACATGCAACTATATGGTGGCTTTCCTTTATACAGAGACTATATAGAACAGAACTAAAGAAGACAGAAAGAGAATTAAGACATGAACCTGAACACTGAGAGAGTTCTAAGTCAAAATCATTTTCTGAGTAGAACAAAGCTGTTCTCATCTTCTGACTAGATTCCGGACCTCATTCATGCCTTATCTTTGGAATAAAATACTTTCTCTTGCATTCAATGTGACTAACATCATAGTGTGTAATTATACAGTTTAAAAGATGATTGATGGGGAGAAGAACAATGTCTACAGAAATGTAAGCCAATGAAAGGGACTCAAGCCTTCAAATGTATTCACATGTAAACTCACATGCACATGTGCACACACACAATTTATAACAACGGGTTATTGCTAACACCAAAAATGTGGTCTACCAAAAGCCTAGCTAGTTTCATTTCCCAATTATTCCCTAACCCATTCCCAGGGTCAAGCCTCAATAATGAATAAAAACATCTCCATGTTAAAAAGGACTACCTAAGAGAAAGGGAGATAAATGGCCTCACCTTGTGAAGAATCCAAATTTCTAATGAGAAAGTTCAGAAAGACAGACTCTATCCATGACTGGGGAAAGAGCTAACATAGACCAAGTATCCATGGTGGAAGAAGAGGAGACAGCACAGATAATGTGGTCACAAAATGGATGCAATATAAAAAGAGTCAAGGTGGCCAGAAAGTATTTCTTACCTGAGTATCCAAAGGAAATACTGGAGATGGGGCTCAGGTAGATGCCTTTGCCATAGGCTGCTCCATGCAGCTTGCAGGGAAACACCAGGATGAGCAATATGAGCCTGGGCCCTCCCATGGCTGTATATTAGGCAGCCACAGGGCTTAGCCAGCCCTCTGTCCCTCCATTATCTGTCTCATTCAGATAACTCTAGGTACCTATTCTTAAAATGTTTATTGGCTGAAAATAAAATGCAGGTTAACCCCTCTGTCTAAGAAATACTAGATAGTGAAGCCTTGGAGAGTGAGGAATAGCACAGCCACTGAATCAGTCCCTCAGAATCCATGTTCCTGTCCCCAGGCCTTGGAACATATGCAGATTCAAAAAAAAATGAAGGAACTATAGAACAGGTAGCCAGGAGGAGGAACAATAACTGTTCTTTGGAGTCTCACAGGGCAAATAAGTAAGTCTCAACTCTGAATAAATAGTCACATATACTGAAAAGTTCTAATAGGCTAGTTCATCTAATAGCTGCAATCAGCAATCCATACTCCTGCCTAAAGCCACATTCCCATTCCCAAAACTACTAAGAAACATAGCCTGGAGTAAAATATAAAATGCCACATTCATTCTATACATGCAGTTCCAATTTCCTCTCTAAGGAAGCCACATGGCAGACTAGATTTGAGGATGCTGAGGCAAAAACATCTGAGTACTCTAGAGCAGAGTTCCCCAAAACTGAGTGGGGCAGAAAGTAGTGGGGGGTGTGGGGAGAAAGAAAAAAGGGGCACAGCCTCACCTGCAGTTTGGTGTAGGATGCATTCACCAGCCCATTGCGCAGGATCGAATGCCAGTTCTCAATGTGGGACCCACTGTAAGGCAGGGTAGAATGCATGTCTCCTCACGGTATGAGGTTCCCAGGATGCACTTTCAAGACTGCCACTCCCACCCATTCTCACCCACACAGGACATGAAGATGGACACATACCTAGTGATGGACATTCATATGGACATAGTCACAGGCATGCAAGATGTATGTTGTGGCTAACCCTTATACATTAATTTCCAGTCCCAGCCTCTCTTCTGTACTTTAGCTAGTCTCATCCTCTATCTCCAACTGCTGATTCAGTATTTTCATCGGCCTATTCGCCTATATTTCATATATGTATATATACATATTTTAATTTTTCCCTTTATTGATTTTAGAGAGAGAGGAAGGGACAGGGATGGCCTATATTTCAAATTATTCTCAAACTCAACAAACTTATCACTGAATCCAAATATGGCTTCTAGTCCTGAATTCATCTATTTTGAGAAGAGGATACCACCACTCAGTTTGGATTATCTTTAATTTGGCTCACTCTTTCTCTCCTCCTATGATTAGGCATCAATTGTTGACTTCCTCAAAACCCCTCTAATCTGTTTCTTCAACCATCTTTTTATATGTAAATGCCATTTCTCCTCAACTACATAAGTAGTTTGAGAGTAAAGACCATATCAATGTATCTTTTTATCCTCTATAGCACCTACCACAATAACATTTTATCACTAATTGTTGACTGGTTGATGGACAGAGGTAACACAAACTCATTCATCTCATGTGAACTCTCCCATCGCCCTACATTCATTATTTGTTGCTCTCCCTCCTCCCCCACCCCATCTCCACCCTCCTCACTGGAAGGCAAAAGTGCTGCCGTAGAGCTTCTTGGCAGTCCGGAACCGGGCCTCCTTGGCAGGAGGGCTGCTCAGCAGGAGGAACTGGTGTGAGGTGTGCATGAACTTCAGCTGCTGCCCAGGTTGGGGGTGGGGTCAGAAAAACAGAGCAGAAATGGAGATCAGGGAGGGAAGGGTTGGGGATAGGGAGCAAATCAGGTTTGCAATGACCCCAAATAAAGAAAATACGCTTAGGCTCAAAGAGAATTGTTGATGGACAGAGCCAACCAGGAAGGTCTAGGACCAATGAGGTTGGCTGGTTTGGAGCCATTCCCTGCCTCATCAGATATTTAGAGTTCAGAGGGAGAAAGGTCACTTACCCTGCTGAGAGGTAGTTTGACAATGTGTGACCTGTTGCTAGAGATGATCCTAGGACAAAACAGAGAAAAAAGGAAAAGGATGGAATAAGTGTGTGGTTAGGCCATCATGAACAAAGCAACAGCCTTGATGTGTCCCTGGGAGAACAAGCAAGAATTCCAGGGTTGTCTGAATTGTGTGACATATCCAGGCCACTATCTGGATATTCCCTTGGACAGTAATGCTTGCATATAAAATTGTAAAAGGAAAGCTAGTTACTGGTAGTTAAATAATGAATGAAAGAAAGAGAGGGGTGGGAGGTGAGCTGCTACACCTAGGGAGAAAAAACAATAAAACAAAAGGAAGAGAACAAGAGGTCAGCTAAAAAATTTAGAGAAGGGTCTGTATTAGGATGGTGATGACTTATCCTTAGGATTTAGAAACTCAGAACTGGGCTCAGGAGCCATCCCACCTGAGCTCAGAGAAAGCCTGAAGGCCTTCAGGGATGGTGAAGAATGGATAGAAAGGTACTGCTTGTGCTGGAGAAAGAAGCAGAAGAAACTAGAACAAACTTCCTGAGGATTCAGGGACAGACTGGGCTATATGTAGGCTGAACTCAGAGGGAGGAGAGAACAAAGGCATAAAACATTGAGGGGTAAGCAATGGAGCATTCTCTCTTGTAGTGGATGGTTTGTTATTTTGTGCTTCACCCATGTACTTATGATGCCATCCTGGAGGATCTATGCCTGGTCATTTCTCATGCTAAGAGGGAGCATGCTGTATTGAGAAAATACTGATGTCAAAGGTTGACTAAGAAGAAAGGGGAAAGCTATGTCAAGAAAACAACAGGAATCAAGATCAGGGAGAGAACAATCAACAAAATGAAAAGGGAACTCACCATATGGGAGAACATATTCGCTAATGATACATCTGATAAGGGATTAAGTTCCAAAATATATAAAAAACTCATACAACTCAACACCAGAAAGACAACCTATCCAATTAAAAAAAATAGGCAGCCCAGCTGGTGTGGCTCACTGGTTAAGCATTGACCCATGCACCAAGAGGTTGCTAGTTCGATTCCCGGTCAGAGCACATGCCCAGGTTGTGGGCTAGATCCCCAGTGTGGGGCATGCAGGAGGCGGCCAATCAATGTTCTCTCTCATTAATGTTTCCATCTCTCTCTCTCCCTCTTCCTTCTTCTCTCTCTAAAATCAATAAAGAAAAAAAAAAAACAAGCAAAGGCCCTGGTCAATGTGGCTCCGTAGTTAGAGTGTTGGCCCACGCACCAAAGGGTCACAGGTTCAAGTCCCAGTCAAGGGCACGTAGCTGGGTTGCAGGTTTGATCCCTAGCCCTGGTCTGGGTATGTGCAGGAGGCAGTGAATCCGTATGTCTCTCTCATAGTGATGCTTTTGTTTCACATTCTCTCTTACTCTCTCTCCCTTCTCCTCCCTTCCACTCTCTCTAAAAATCAATAGAAAAAATATCCTCGGGTGAGGATTAGCAAAAAAAAACAACCAAAAAAATGGGCAAAAGACCTGAATAGGCACTTCTCCAAAGAGGATATACAGATGGCCAATAGACATGAAAAAATGCTCAATGTCACTAATCATCAGAGAAATGCAAATTAAAACTATAATGAGGTATCACCTCATACCTGTCAGAATGGTTACCATCAATAAATCAACAAACAAGTGCTGGCAAGGATGTGGAAAAAGGGAACCCTAGTACACTGCTGGTGGGAATGCAAATGTGGTGCAGCCACTGTGGAAAACAGTACAAAGATCCCTCAAAATATTAAAAACAGAACTGCTGTATGACCCAGTGATCCCACTTCTGGGAATATATCCTTAGAATACCGAAACACCAGTCAGAAAGGATATATGCACCCCTATGTTCTAGTAGCGTTATTTACGATAGTCAAGATCTGGAAACAGCCTAAGTGCCCATCAGTAGATGAGTGGATAAAAAAGCTGTGGTACATTTACACAATGGAATACTATGCCACTGTAAAAAACAAGAATCTCTTACCCATTGTGACAGCATAGATGGACCTGGAGATTATTATGCTAAGCAAAATAAGCCACTCAGAGAAAGACAAATATCATATGATCTCCTTATATGTGGAATCTAATGAAAAAAATAAATGGACAAACAAAACAGATCCAGAGGCATGGATGCATGGAATAGACTGACAGATCTCTGAGGGGGAGGGGAGTGGGAAGGGGTTAACCAAAGAACATATATGCATAGCCCATGAACACAGACAGTGTAGTAAAGGCCTGGGGTGGGGTGGGGGCTGAGTGCAGGGGGGCAAAGGGGAAGGAAATGGGGAGATCTGTAATACTGTCAACAATAAAAATAGATAAATTAAAAAAAAGATCAGGGAGGGAGGGTGGGGGTTGAGGGCAGTAGAGAATGGTAGAATCTTTGCTGGAAGGGTACAGCAATAGGGCCTCAAGGTTCTGGACAGTCTGTGTCAACAGGGAAGACCTTGAGACAGGAAAAGGGAGTAGAAGTGGGAGATAGTCTCTTTGGATGCAAAGAAACTTATTTGAAATGAACAGTGTTAATTCCTACATGCAAGGGGCACCCATAAATTACTGGAAATAAGAAATCACTAAAGAGAAGTTGCGACATCTCAGAATTTGTGGGTTCTCTGTAGGATTTGAGTTCTTGTCAAAGCCAGGTATATCAATAAAACCCCAAGAAAAAGCAGCCATGATATATATAACCTCAGGAAGGAAGCTGAAAGTGTCTCTAAGAGAAGGTGTAGGCTCCACATCTAATACCATGTCCCTGCCCCACTCTGGGAAGGATGAATCATTCTATCCATACCACTGCAGGAGAGGATGGGCCAGGGGATCCAGCTTGTCCATCTGTTTCTTGATTTCCAGATAGGAGCCCTGTAAGACAATATCCATAAGGTTAACTCCCAGGAGCAGTGGGAACCCTCCCACTTTTTACAAATGAATATCAGGGCCCAGGGCAAGGTAGGCAATGAAGGCCACACAAAGGCAAGAGGAGATGGGGTTACCACCCACAAGGAGCCCAGTCAGACTGGGAAAACTCACAAACAAATATGAAAATGACTGAAGATGCTTACAAAACAACATGAAGGTGGGTCTCCCTCATTTTATGCAATTCCTACAGCCTTAAAAAGTTGATTGTAAATAAAAAAATAAATAAAATCAATGTCCAGAAAGAATAGGCTAAGGAATCCTCTGATAAAACTTTACATAAAGCAAAGAGTCCTTCTGACAAGTAAGTCATTCCCCATTGGTATATCTTATATTATGTAAAATGTTAATCTGAACTGTGATATATAGGATTTGCTGAGAAGAGGCCCACCTGTAAATAAGCACAAATGAATGTCTATTCATGCAGAGACTGCAGACGAGGGGTGGGGAAGTCTGGTGAGGGACAGCCTTGAGTCAAAGGATGGTCACTGCTCCATGTGGCTGCCCCACCCCTAGAAGGATAGAAAATGCAGGCCCCTGGATCTAGTTCCTTACCTCCAAGCCCCCCTCCTCAACCTCCCAACCCTGGCAGAGAGGTCTTTCCCTCATTTCTCTAATTCCCTAAGAATTATGGAAAAAACATTAAATATGAACAACATGTTAAGGAACTAGCAGCAAAAGTAAAGTTTGAGAGAGCATTAGAAGTAAGAAAGAGCAGTAGTAACAGAGCTAACAAAACAGAATGGGAGGGGAGACTAAAGTAAACAGTGAGGAATCTGAGAAGCATCTCTAAATCTTCACTGGACTCCCATGAATTCTAAGCAGACTACAATACTCGTGGCACAGGCAGAGGGCAGAATACCTGGGTCATCTCTCGGATGGACATCACACTATCCAGAGCTTTCTGAAGTCGTTCATAATTCTTCTTCTGTGGGGAATCAATGGGAAGAAAAGAACCAAATAAAGAAAAGTGGAGGAGAGTAAGATGTGATGAAAAGGAGGACCAGATGTACAAAAAGTGTCTGGGCCTTAGAGAAACAGTGTAGTATGTCATGGAAAGAAAATACATTTAATGTCGGATAGTTTCGGAATCACATGCTAGTTCTACCACCTGAGAGTCATAGGGTAAGTTACTTAACCTCTTAGAACCCCAGTATCCCTGTGAATAAATGAAAATAAAAATTCCCACTACCTTCATCTAGATGTTCTAAAATAACATATGTAAAGAACCTGGTATAGTGTGTGATAACATAGGAATGAGTATATATATATATTTATTTATTTATTTTTGTGGTACGTGCCCCTAGCGGGAACCGAACCCAGGACTCTCTGGTCCGCAGGCCGATGCTCAACCGCTGAGCCAAACTGGCCAGGGCAATAGCAATGAGTAATAGCCAGACACTGTGATGATTAATTGTGTCAGTCTTTAATAGTGTCAATCTGACTAGGCCATGGAGTGCCCAAACAGTTGGTCAAACATTATTTTGAGGTGTGTCTGTGGGGGGCGTTCTAGAAGAGATTAACACTTGAATCAGTAGACAGTAAAACACATTGCCTTCCCTAAGTTGTGTGGGCCTCACCAATCAGTCGAAGGCCTGAATAGAATAAAAAGGCAAAGTAACAGGCTCCTCCCCCTGACTTCTTGAAGCTGGGACACTGGTCTTTTCCTGTCTTTAGACTGATCTGGAGACTGCTAGCTTTTGGATAGAACTTAAACAACTGGCTTTCCTGTCTCCAATTTGCTGACTGCTGATCCTGGGACTTCTTAGTCTTCATAATTATATAAGCCAATTCCTTATAATAAATCTCCTACTGGTTATGTTTCTCTGGATAACTCTAACCAATGCAGCACTTTATACATATTATCCCTCTTTTTTTTTTTTAAATCTTTATTGTTAAATGTAAAATGTATTACAGATGTTCCACATTTTTCCCCCATTGACCCCCTCCTCCCCACTCCCGCCCCCCTCCCGCCTTTTCCCACACTATTGTCTGTGTCCATTGGTTATGCATATAAGTTCTTTGGCTTATTTCTTCCCACTACCCCAACCCCTTTCCCTTTGCGGTTTGTCAGTATAGCAATGAATTTGTACTTCTTAATCTCTTCACCTTTTTCACCCATTCCCCCAACTCCCCTCCCATCTGGCAACCAACCAAATGTTCTCTGTATCTATGAGAATGTTTCTGTTCTACCTGTTCATTTTGTTTGTAGATTCCATTGTTGATAGACATGTATTCATTGCCATTTTGTTTGTTCATATATTTTATCTTTTACTTCAAAAAGACCCTTCATCATTTCACATAATAATGGTTTGGTGGTGATGAACTCCTTTAACTTTTTCTTATCTGGGAAAGTCTTTATATGGCCATCAATTCTAAATGACAGCTTTGCAGGATAGAGTAATCTTGGTTGTAGGTTCTTGCTTTTAATCACTCTGAATATTTCTTGCCACTCCCTTCTGGACTGCAAAGTTTCTTTTGAGAAATCAGCTGACAGCCTTATAGGAACTCCCTTGTAGGTAACTAGCTGCCTTTCTCTTGCTGCTTTTAAGATTCTCTCTTTGTCTGGAACCTTTTGCATTTTGATGATGATGTGTCTTGGTGTGGGCCTCTTGGGGTTCATCTTGTGCTTCCTGGACTTGTATGTCTGTTTCCTTCACCAAGTTAGGAAAGTTTTTTGCCATTATTGTTTCAAACAGGTTTTCAATTTCTTGTTATCGCTCTTCTGGCACCCCCAAGATGTGAATGTTGGCACGCTTGAAGTTGTCCCAGAGGCTCCTTACACTATCCTCATTTTTTTGGATTCTTTTTTCTTTTTGCTGTTCTGATTGGGCATTTTTTGCTTCCTTATATTCCAAATCGATGGTTTGCTCCTTGGATTTACATACTCTACTATTCAAGCTGTGTAAATTATTCTTTATTTCAGTTAATGCCTCCTTCAATTCTGACTGTGCATCCATAATTTCTGACTGGTCCTTTTTTATGCTCTTGAGGCCCTCACTAAGTTCATTGAGCATCCTTATAAGCAGCATTTTGAACTCAGCATCTGTTGGGTTGCTTATCTCCATTTCGCTTAGTTCTTTTCTTGGGGTTTTGTTCTGTTCTTTCATTTGGGACCTGTTTCTTTGTCTCCTCATTTTGGCTGCCTCCCTGTGTTTGTTTCTGTGTATTACTTAACGAGAGGTATAGGGCTATCTGAGACCAGATACTGCTCGTTTGAAAGAATTTGGGAAAAACCTGAAGGAGGATCCAAGACTGGCCAATCCTATGGTTAAGCAAGTGACAACAGCTTGGGTGGGCCTGAAAGTTGGGTGGGGCGGGGCAGGGCCTCAGGGAGTCAGCAGGGCGGGGCTACCAGTGTGAGCCAGGTTGCTGGAGTCCCAGATATGTGGGCTGTCTGCTGCCCCAGGGAAGGGCTCACCAAAGGAACAAGGCCTCTGATAGCAGGTTTGTCCTGAAGAAAGCCCCCTCTCCAGCCCTCGTTCCAATGCCAAACAGCTCAGTTCTTCCCTGTATGTCTCTGGCGCCCCTCGAGCTCCCTCCCCTCCAAGCTTAGAGGGAGAGAGTCCGATAAGTTCCTGCGCGGGCCCTTTAAGGAGTTGCCTGGGGCTCCAGCCACTTCAGCTTCCCTGAGCCTCAGTTCCTGCTGGTTTTTCCAGCCAGAAGTTATGGGGACTTCTCTTCCTGGTACTGGAACCCTGAGCAGGGCACCTGGTGTGGGACAGGGATCCCTCAGTCCTCAGGAAGGACCTTTCCGGCCGAGGTGTCCTCCTGATTTTTATCTGTCACACGTGGGTGTGGAACCAACCAGTCTCACCACCTGCCGTTGCGCCTCTGCCCCTCCTACCAGTCTGGATGTGGCTGCTGCTTTAATTCCATAGTTGAAGGACTTCCATTCAGCTTGATTTCAGGCGGTTTGGAATGATGGTTGTTCTGTAGTTTAGTTGTAACTTCGACGTGGTTGTGGGAGGACGCGATACAGCGTTTACCTACGCCGCCATCTTGACCGGAAGTCTCTTATCCCTCATTTTTATAACAATCCGCAAGATATAGATATTATCCCCTTTTTACAGATAATGAAATTGAGGTTCATTAAAGTTAACTGACTTGCCTAATACCATTCAGCTAGGGAACAGCAGAATCTCAAGTGGAATCTAGGTCTGTCTGGCTCCAAAGTCTATGTTCTTCCCTTTCATGACATAACTAATATGAATTCTTCTCCCCTTCTGACAAACTCAGTTATTTATTCACTAAAACAGCTAAAGCTTAGAGTTCAAGAGTTCTCAAGAAACAAGCATTTCATTTCTTTTGATTCTTATTCTCAGATACAGTGTAACTATAATGACAGCCCATAGTCTTCCACTATCTTCTACTGTTTCTGTTCCTTAGCCTTGACTTTATTCACAAGCAACTATACCTTAGGGTTAAAGGCCAGAGTCTTGGGATCAGTGGGGTCCACCACAGAGGGATAAGGCTCAAAGATGATGCTCTTTCTAGGGGATTCCAAAGCTGCCCTACACATGGCTACCAGCAGATCCACCACCTAAGGGGAAAGGAGAGAAAAGGTTCAGCAGAAGCTAAATGATTTCCTCAGTTCTGGAAGTGACATAGTATCCAGAATAAGTCTACTTTTTCTACCTTTTGGAGTCTTGGCATTTCTCTCTGCTCTCTATCTTTCTCTCTTTTTTTTTTTTGTAATCCTCACCTGAGGATATTTGTTCAATGATTTTTAGATAGAGTGGGATGGAGGGAGGGAGAGAGAAACATCAACGTGAGAGAAACACATCGATTGAGTGATTCCCCCAGGACCCTGACCAAGGCTGGGGGTCACGAGGCACATGCCCTTGACCAGAAATTGAACCTGTGACTTTTTGGTCCGAGGGCTGATGCTCTAACCAGAGTCAAACTGACCAGGGCTCTGCACTTCTTTTTTTTTTTGGGTTACTCCTCACCTGAAGATATTTCTTTATCGATTTTTAGACAGTGGAAGGGAGGAAGGGGGCAGAGAGAGAGAGAGAGAGAGAGAGAGAGAGAGAGAGACAGACATCAATGTGTCTCACATTGGCTGGTTGTCTCCCACATGACCCCAACCAGGTGGGGACTGAACTGCAACCGAGGTATGTGCTCTTGACCAGAATCGAACCTGTGACTCTTTGGTCACAGATGAACACTCTAACTGCTGAGCCAAACTGGCTAGGGTTCTGCTCTTCTTTTTAAATGCAAATATGTTACCCTGAACAGTTTGGCTTGGCGGTTAGAGCGTCAGCCTTCAGACCAAAGAATCATGGGTTCGATTCTAGTCAAGGGCACATACCTTGGTTGTGGTTCAGTCCCCAGCCCTGGTCAAGGTCATGCGGGAGGCAATCAGTTGATGTGTCTCTCTCACATCAATGTTTCTCTCCCTCCCTCACATTCTGTCTGAAGATAAATAGAAAAATATCTTCAGGTGAAGATTTAAAAAAAAAAAAGCAAATATGTTTATGGTTTTTTCATTAGAAAATATAGACATAAAAATTCAAGTAACAATGATTTGAAAAATGATTAAAATACCCTGGCAGCGTAGTTAGTTAGAGCATCAACTCAATACACCAAGGTTGCAGATTTGATCCCCAGTCAGGGCACATATAAAAATCAACCAATGAATGCATAAATAAGTAGAATAATAAATCGATATTTATTTTTTTATTCCTTATTTGAGGATACTTTTCTATTTATCATCAGATAGAGTGGGAAGAAGGGAGAGACAGAGAGAAACATCAATGTGATAGAGCCACATTGACCGGCTGCCTCCTGCACAACCCGACCACGGCCGGAGACGAACCGCCACCGAGGTACATGACCTTGACCAGAATCGAACCCACAACTCATTGGTCCATGGGCCAACACTCTAACCGCTGAGACAAACTGGCCAGGGCCAAATTGATGTTTCTTTTTCTCTCTCTCTCTCACTCTCTCCCTCCCTCCCTGTCTAAAAATCAATGGGAAAAAAGTGATTATACAAAAGATAAAATTCATCCCCCTGCCCTCAAACAAATCTCATTCTTCACAGATAAACTGTTAAGTTTGATGTACATCCTTCCAGATATTTTTCCTATGGAAATAGTTACTTTATTATATAGGCAATTGAAAAAAAAAGAATTGCACTATACATACTGTTGTTTTCTTATATGTTATAATTTTCTATCCATAAGTAATAGCTGTATAGTATTTCCATTGTAAGGACATACCATAATTTCTTTAACTGGATGCCCTATAGATGGAGTTATATATACTTTTTTTAAACTACTACAAATAATACTATCATGAACATCCTTACATGTGAAAGCATTTCCAGAGGTTAAGTTCCAAGCAGTGAAATTGCTAGGTTCCTGGCCTTTCTTGATCCCAGTTCCCCAGCAGCTGTTCCCTCTCTCATACCTCTGCTCCAGTGGCCACCTCCTCTGCAGCTCCGGACATGACTCCCAGTGTGTAGAAGGAGAAAACGCACAGTTCACGAGTACAGACGGCTGGCTGAATGGACATATTAAACCCAGTGAGGTACAGTGAAAAGGTGTCGTAGGGAGAGGGACAACTCTAGAATGAGGTAGAAGTTTGGGGCCCTCTGTGTCAAGAGAAAACTGTAAATAAGTGAAATCTTAATTAAAATGCTTTACTGAGTTTGAGGATTAATGCTGTCTCTGCTACAAAGCCTCCCATGACCTCCCTAGGTAGTCAGATGCTCTCTCATCTGAGCTTCACAACATTGCTCACCAGTGTCTGTCTACTCACCTAGATTTGGAGTCCTGAAGGACAGCATCATATCCAATCATCTTGGTCAATATCTTGTCCCTATCTTTAAATGTTGGGTGGGGATTATATCTAAAAATATTCACATAGCTCATCTTTCCTAGCAGGACTGCTGACATTTATTTTCTGAGGAAAACAATTATTTCTAGAGTCTCAGGGAGTTAAGGACAGACTTCTACCTTTACCACAGATCCAAGAAGAAGGGAGAGATGTGGAGTAAAGGGGCCTGGCTAAAGGTCCAAGGAAGAGGGCCACAGAACAAGGGCCTATACCTTGAGCATAGACCCGTTCTGGAAGACATGCTGCTCATCGCACACCACACAGTACTCATTCAACGTTGGAATCCTCTGCTCTGCATACTTCATAATCTGGAGAGAGAAGAGATTCAATTAAATCTTTGGGAAGTACAGGCACAGATATGGAAACTATTTTGAGCTTCTTTTCCAGCTACTCTCTTCCCTCCTAGCCCTGTGCCTAGAATAGAATCTCTTCCTGGGTCCTGGCACTTAGCTAAACTTATAGCCTGACTCTAGAGTTTAGACTATATACTAAAAGTAAAAATAAGACCAGCCATGGAAAAATATCTGGGTTAAGATTCCCTTCTTTGTCCAGCTGGTGTAGCTCAGTGGTTGAGCATCGACCCATGCACTGAGAGATCGCCAGTTTGATTCCCAGTCAAAACACATGCCCTGGTTGTGGGCCAAATCCCCAGTGGAGGGCATGCAGGAGGAGACCAATCGATGTTCTCTGTCATCAATGTTTCTATCTCTCTCTCCCTCTCACTTCCTCTCTCTCTAAAAACAATAAAGGAAAAAATAATAATAATAAAAAAGTTTCCCCTCTTGCCCTGGCTGGTTTGGCTCAGCGGTTAGAGCGTCGACCTGCGGTACAGAGAGACCCGGGTTCGGTTCCCGCTGAGGGCGCGTACCTCGGTTGCAGTTTGTCCCCGGCCCTGGTTGGTCGTGCGGGTGGCAGCCACTCGATGTGTCCCTTCACATCGATGTTTCTCTCTCTCTCTCTCTCTTCCTCTCTCCCTCCCGCTCTATCTGAACAAAAAATGGAAAAATGTCCTTGAGTGAGGATAAAAAAAAAAAAAAAAAAAAAAAAAAAAAAAAAAAAAAAAAAAGTTTCCCCTCTTTACTACTTAATAGTACATATAATAACTTCAGGCAAGTCAGTTAACCTAGGCCTTGGTTTCTTCATTTATAAAGTGGAACATTATTCACTACATAGAGGTATTAAGAGTAATGAGATAGCCCTGGCCGGTTTTGCTCAGTGGTTAGAGCCTCGACCTGAGGTCCAGAGAGGCCTGGGTTCAGTTCCCGCTAAGGGCGCGTACCCTGGTTGCAGTTTGTCCCCAGCCCTGGTTGGTTGTGCGGGTGGCAGCCACTTGATGTGTCCCTTTCACGTCGATGTTTCTCTCTCTCTCTTCCTCTCTCTCCCTCCCACTCTGAACAAAAAATGGAAAAATGTCCTCGGTGAGGATTAAAAAAAAAAAACAAAGAGTAATGAGATAATTTCTGAGAGTATTTTTAAACATTAAGTTATTAATCAAACTATTAACATTAGTTGTAGTAATTACGGATTGTCTCTCTGGGACAGGTGAGTATTGAGTCCATGATCAGATGGCAGGGGAACCTGAGAAGCCATTGCCAACTACCTAGTAAAATTGGTCTATTTACTGGTCACAACCATAGATACAACTCTGTGCTGAGAAGAAAGAACAAATCCAGAGCTCACATGGCAATATCCTAAAGTATTTTTAAAACATTCTGTCATAACATGGCTTTTTCAATCAGGTACACTTTGTATATAAATTTATTCCCATTTTATATACTTTGGGGCTGGTAAAGGGACATGCAAGGGTTTTGTTTGTTTTGTGTGTTAATCCTCACCTGAGGATATTTTTCCACTGATTTTTAAAGAGAGTGGGAGGGAGGGAGGGAGGGAAGGAGGGAGGGAGGGGGAGAGAAGAAGGAAGTGGGGTGGGGGAGAGAAACATTGATGTGAAAGAGTCAATCAATTGGTTGCCTCCCACATGAACCTGAATGGGGTGGGGGATCAAACCTGCAACCCAGGTATATGTCCTTGACTGGAATTGAACCCACAACCCTTTGGTCTGTGGGCTGACACTCTAATTGCTGAGTCAAACCAGTCAAAGTGCAAGTGTTTTTATTCATTAAGATTTATTGAATGCCAACAATGTACCCAGCTTAGTGAAAGGTCTCCTTGATTATTCAATAATATAAAAGATTGCCTTCTCAGACCCTGTACTCCAGTAGGGAAGATGTAGTATGTATACAAATTAATTATATTTCAAGAGAGCATAAGGTATGTGACACACAGGTGCCAAATAAAACAAAAAGCATCATGAGAGCTCAGCAAGAGAAGACATCACTTCCAGCTAATTAATTAATATAGTTGGAGTAACAGAGAAGATGTTTTATGGAAAAGATGACACCCAGCCTTGACTGCAATATACACATAGAGGGAGGAAATCCAGTAGAGGAAATGACATGAACAAAGGTAACAGAGATGCAAAAGTAAAAGCATGTCCAGGGAATAAAAAGGTTTAAAAAAAGAAATTAGTAGTGACTGAGCAGTGAAAGAGGTCTGCAAAGAAAGTGAAGACTACTTGAGCAAGAATGTTAGGGATCATAGGAAATTATGGTCAAATACTTTCTCATCTCGAGATCTAGGCATTTAAAATTTGCAGTGCATCATTTGGCACTTGACCATAAATGGTCTATAGTTTTCCCAGCAATGCCGTAAGCTTCTTGAGGATGGGAACTATGCCTTCTTTTCTCCTATCCACATAACACTTAGTATAGTTCTGGGAGCAGAGCAACTCAGGAAATATTTGACTGAGGAGCTAGGAGATGTTAGGGGATCAGATGGATCAGACATCAGGGGAAAGGCTTTGGAATGAAACTTTGGACTTGGTTTACCTGGACAAGGAATCCATATTCTAGAGTGGGGATGTTCTTGCAGTGACCACTGACCTAGTAAGAGTAAAAAGACAGACCCCATGAGCCTCCTATGAAGCTGGCACCTATATAGACATCATTCACGCCCATCACCTAGGATTCTCCTAAAGTAGCTAAGCCCTATTTTTCAAAGTAGGTGGAATTGGTTAGTCAGCAGCTGATTATCAAGTCTTAAACATAACCTAATAAAATCATAAAATGACATTTCATTGGGATGCCCAACCCTAGACTCTCTGTTTCATGGCCTTCTATCATAGAACCTTGCCAAGTAGTTTACATGTAAGTTTTCAGCTATTAAAAAATGTGTTCCATTCCACCTACTCATGGTACATGCCTAGGTTTGATTTATGATGCCTGGAAAACCATACTCCCACCCCATTTTGAGAAGTTATACTCCACAATTACACTCCCACCCTCCTGACACCCAAGTCAAACCCTCCCCAGCTCATGTACCAAAGGAGAGGTCCGTGCTGGGGGAGGGAAGCCCAAGTGCTGGGGGCACAGGAGACCTGCCTGGGGGCTGGGAGGGTAGCCAAACACTTCCACTTTGGGGTTCTTCATGGTGCAGGAGATGGAACGGTTCATGAGGCGCCCAACCCGGAGCTCTGGTACAGCAAGTTTGCCTTTTAGCATGGAGTCCTGTATGATAGGAAAACTGGGAGACCTGGAGAGAGAGCAAAGAGAAGTGATGAATAACTAGGGATTCAGTAGGAGACCTAGAAGAGATTTGAAGACAAGTGGGTCCTAGGCCATTGATGAGTGAAGTAACCTAAGTCAAAAAAGAACATATGAGGAAAGTTCTATTGGATCTAAAACAAATAAGTAGATCACACACCTGAATTAAATTTTATGTCATCATCTGTGTTTTTCTGGTTGGAACATAGGGGATAGGCAAAGGCAAAGCCTAGGTCATTCTACAGCATCTAGACCAGGTTTAGAATGATCCTTTGGAAAAGATGCCTGTTTAATTTACTCAATGTATGTATGTATGTGTGTGTGTGTGTGTGTATTTACATACATATGATTAAGTGGTAAACATTATATTAGGCAAGAAGTAGTTTCATCCCAAAGAGCTTGATGTCTGACTGTCTATAAGCAACAGTACCTGTGAAGCTACAAATCTGGGCCTATGTTTGCCTTTGACACGGTCAGAAAACACGGGATGGGGAGTGCTTTGTTAGATAATTGATTTATTACCTACTTCTAGAAATAGGTAATAAATCAATGTACCCTTGCATAAGAGCAAGGAGTTGGTGCCTGTTCTCTGAGTCTGCCTCCTTGTGATAGGGAATAAGGATGAGGGTTAAATAAAGGAAAGATGGAGAGATTAGCATACATTTCTCCAAATACACACCATGAGTTAGGTATTATGTTTTACATAAAGGATGTATAAAAGTTGGAGTCAGAAGGAGGACAAGGACATATGTGGTTACTTTTAATAGTTAAAGGTACAGGACCCAAGGAAAGGACAGAATAGATACATTTAGATAATCAAGAAGGTGGTGTGGGGGCTCAGATAAGACTAAGGTGATTAGAAATGATTAGCTCCTGGGGGAGCACTTACTTGGGAATGGGTGAGAAGATGCTGAGGCCAGCTCGGAACTTCTTGATGGTACCAGTTGCTTTGAACCAATTGTGCCTCTTCTCCTGCTGGGTCTTTAAGAAATCGTTGCTGAGATGTTTCCATTGTTGGGATGTGAACATACCCAGGATCCTAAAGAATTAAAGAAAACAGGCTTAGGAAAGCTCCAGCAGAGGAACAGGTCAAGAAATAGGACTATGAAAGGCAACTAATTCAGATCCAGGGACTGCAAAAAGTAGTTGTGGTGAGGAAATGTGTCTGAACGCCCCCCATATGACCTTAGCACACGAAAATGTACTGTCCTAAAGTACCTCTTTATCAGGAGGTAAATACCCACTCCCATTACCTAGTCTAATGGAAGACCCAAAAAATTCTGACATGCTTTGCCTTTAAGAGGGAGATCTCAAAGGTGAACCTTCAAAAGTTGCAAACCTAGGAATTTGTTGCCAAGAATGACTATATACTGAGAGTGAAACAAAAGTAGTGGGGCAGAGGTTAAGAACCACCCTCTGCCTTTTGAATAGCGAAGAAAAAACTAGGGACATGAGAGGTACTGACATTGTCAGGTGAAAAATTACATCCCCAAATTTATGGTTTCCAACTTGAGCTGGGCCCTCAGCTGGTCTTGTCAATCGTTTCATTCATCCTTGATCAGTATCTCTAGTATTACTCCAAGTCAGCGATTTTCAACTGGTGTGATACAAGAATTTTTAAAACATGCAATACCCGACTATTTAGTTAGGGTCGCTGACCTCTTTGCCCTTAAATTGTCACTTAAAAAAATGACAACACCCAACACAACAAGAGCTGTCTGGTGCGAATGAATCAAAATTATACCTATTTTTTTTGTCAGATCGGTTAAATATATACTTTTTGGTGTGCTACAGAATTTTAGTAATTAGTTTACATGTACCATGAGATGAAAAAGGTTGCTGCTCTAAGCTATTATCTTAAATTTTTATCAATTTCTTTAAGCAACTAATTTCACCTACAACCAATAACCTCTTTTTCCTTCAAAATAGAGAAAACAGAAGCCCTCAAGTATCAGCTCTTAATTTTCCAACCAAAGTACCAATTATATTTCCATTTCCACCCTTACCTTCATCCCTCCATTCTCTGGAGACAAGGTAACCCTCCTATTAAGGATCAATGCCTCTCTTTGTGCTCTAGTTCTCAGTCCCTTCTTGCCTCTTTAGGGACCATCAATCATCCCCCTGTCAATTCCTTTCCCAAAGTCTACAAAAAATTTCAATTTTCTGCCCAAGTCTACCTACCTCTCCCTCATTCCCTTATCCTCATCCATGTTTTTCAATCTATACTTATTATTTCCACTTCGCTGCTAACCACTCACTTCTTAACATATTCATCCCTCACCACTCCACCACAATTGCTCTCATCTTGATGCTAACTTCAACAGAACCTCCTAAATTCTCTTATTTATCCTGTCTGGCACTTGGCCCTCCTTGTAGAAACTCTCCTCTTTGCCTTCTGTGATACTCTTTTCTTCCCATTCTTCTCCAACTTCTCTGACCTACCTTCAGTGTTTCTTCTTCCTCTTCCTACCCTGCTAATTTCTGGGGTATTTTGTCTGTGTGTTAAAGGGTGTTTTGCCCTTGATCTTTTCACTCCATCATGCTGTCCTCTAGCAATCTCAAATTCGACACTGATTCTAATTTCCACCCATACACTGATATATATCTTCAAACCTAACCTCTACTTTAAGTACCAAATCTACATTATGTATATATTAAGCACTTCGACTTAAATATCCCAAGGTTACCTTTAAACATGTTTAAAATGAAACCAATTATCTATCCTCTGCTCCTCTTTTTAAATCCCTATTTAAACTGGTGGTATTGCAATTTACCCAGACATCTGGGATGGAAACCTAGGAATAACTTTCTACTATTCCTTGGCTTATGACCATACACAGCATATCCAAATCAATCTTCAAGTCCTAGGATTTTTAAAAAATATCACAAATAGGATTTTTTATTTATAACCATTAAATGTCTGAATTTTAAACAGATTCTTGGACTGGGGGCTCATATCCATCAGTATGTTCAACTTTAGCACCTGTCTCATCCCCAGTAACTTTTCCAGAACTGATACCTTCATCAGGAAGCTCCATGAGTTTCCCCAATTCAAAATTGGAATTCTCCAGTATTTTAACTAACAAAGACATCACAGAGTGAATAAATAGACCAGTAAGCCTTTTTTGTGTCTTTTCTAATGCTATCTGGAATCAATTTACTGACCACTTCTTTCAAGTCATTTGTCTGCACCTCTCGGGTCATGATTTCCATCTTCTTCTTCTGGATTTGGTGGACCTATTGATGCTGAGCATAAGAGATCTTCCAAATCTGATTGTTGCATTTTTAAAAAATTTTTTTAGTGAAACCACAGAATAGAGAAAGCAAATAACCATAGGTAGTCTTGACACCAACATGAGCTTCAATCATGCTCTGCCATTTTTTGACCATGGAGCACATTTTGTCATGGGTAAGATCCATGCCATGGAAATTAGTCAGACAGTTTTGCCCTAAACATCCTCAGCAATTATCTTGAATTTTCTAAATGCAACTTCATCATTCTGCAGATCAGCTACACTTACTTCAAAAACATGACCCTTGAGACTATCAGATGCAATTTTGGTTCCTTGACTTCTGGTGACTATTGTTTTTCCAATATTTTTTATATTGAACATAGCTGATGCTTTTCTTAGGGAATGGATCAACCACTTTCTTCCTGCCTCCTTTTTTGCTGCCTTTCGTAAGGCACTTGTTCTTGCCAACTGCCACTGTGCTGCTCATAGAGCCAAAAAGCAAGTGTTTTTTATTTTATACCTCATAATTTCTCCAATCTATCTCTCAACTCTATTCTTTTTTGTTGTTGTTGTTAATCCTCACTCAAGGATATTTTTTCCATTGATTCTTAGAGAAAGTGAATGGGGGAGAGAGAGAGAGAAATCAATGTGAGAGAGACACATCAATTGATTGCCTCCTGCACAAGCCTCGAGTGGGACTAGATATCGAACCTGCAACCCAGGTACGTGCCCTTGACCAGGAATCTAAACCGTGACCCTTTATTGGTAAGTGGCTGGTGCTCTAACTCCTGAGCCACACTGGCCAGGACTCTCATATCTATTCTTACCTATAATCAGACTTTGGTTCAGGAACTCATCATCTCATGCCTGGACTTCTACAAAAGCTTCTTACCAAACAAGTTCTGGTCTCTTGTCTCACCCCCTCTTATCTATTTTACCCAATGCTACCAGAATAGTGTTTTTAAAGCTAAATCAACCATGTCTTTTCTCTGCCTAAAAGCCTTCAATACTCCCACTGCTGACAACATAAAAGCCCGAGATCCTCTCTGATTTGGACCCCTTCCCACTGCTCTGGCTTCAGTTCCTGCCACTCTTCCCTTGCATTTTACTAGCAATATTAACTGTTTGAAGCTTCCTACATAAATGCTGTTTCATGTTAATGTGTCCTAGCAAATATTATTCACTCTTAGAGTCTGTTTACATAGGCAACTCTGATCTATCCTTGAAAACCATTATTCATCTCCCTTTCATTCAGTCATTCATAGTCCTCTACCTGCCACCAGAATGAGTCACTCCTTCCTCTGTGTTCTAAAACTTATGTATTCACTTGTATTAGAACATGTATCTACTGGATTCTATTTGGAATTCATTGAGGGCAGAATCTGTAGCTCAATTCTCTTTGTATACCAAATACTTAGCAAGATGCTCAACATTCAATAAATTAAAACTGCCTGAGCTCCTAGGGCCCACTCTGAGAAAACTACAAGAGGAAATGTGAAGAACATGGCTCTAATTCCAGGGTTGTACTTTTTCTTAAATTCTATCCTCACCCGAGGATATTTTTCCATTTTTTGTACAGATAGAGTGGGAGGGAGAGAGAGGAAGGGAGAGAGAGAGAGAAACATCGACGTAAAGGGACACATCGAGTGGCTGCCACCCGCACGACCAACCAGGGCCGGGGACAAACTGCAAACGAAGTACGTGCCCTTAGCGGGAACCGAACCCGGGTCTCTCCGGACCGCAGGCCGACGTTCTAACCGCTGAGCCAAACTGGCCAGGGCTTGCTTAAATTCTAAATACCTATCTTTTTGCTTTCAAGATGTCTCAAGGCTAGATACCCCAGAACCACAGGCTCCTCTCCCAACCATAAATTTGGCTCCCCAAATTTATTTTAGTCTTTCTTGGGCACATCTCAGAAAGAAAGACATTTTTGGAAGAAAATATTCCATACAAGGATGAACACATTCCATCTGCCTGTCTATCCACATATATCCATAACCAGAAAGATCAAAGTTCTTACTTTTTCAACTGAAGACCCAGCCCAAATCCTTCCTTATTCGATGGCTGGAAAACCTCAATTGATGGTTCTGCAAAGAGAAGAGAAAGCTCCTAGTATGTACATGTCTCTATCCTCCTGGGAGTCCAAAACCCCAATTCAGCTTCCTCAGTTTCTAACAGTATTCTAAACAATAACGTTTTCAATATAGGGTAGATTCTGGGAGCTGACTGACCAATTTCAAATATCCTCAACTTCTACAAAGAAGTTGAGGAGAAGGGGAGGAATACATAGTATCTGGGAACCACAGAAAACAATTTCATTAACCAAGAAGGATTTGAGGGGATTGCTATCAGGTGACAGGGAATGAAGACACCAGTGAGAGGAGTCTGAAAAGGCCCTACCAATAGCCTGTAGATTACTCCCAAGGATTTTGTTCCTAGTTTTTATCTATCTCACTTAATTTAGGACTTTGATTAGCTCACACTCAAAGAACACACTTGCCCAAAGTTACTGCCTTTACCTGGTCCATCAAGGTACTGAGAAAGAGAAAATCGCAGCCTCAACACAATAGGTTCTGTCCGGAGGACCTTCCAGGCTGTAGAGACTTCCTCCTAAAAGAATAAGGTCATATCCAAGTCACAGCACCAAAATAATAAATAAAAAAGAATAAAAGAGTAAGGGAAATAAGTTTCCAGTTTAGCAACACAGAGGATTGGACTTAAAGTTTTCCTATGTGACACACACATGCACATGACAGTACACACCACTGTGTCTGATAATCTAAAAAAGACAGGGATGGAGAATATGTGCTCCAAATACAGCACTCAGGAACAAGACTCCTGGCCTACATGACAAAATCCACAAGTCCAGCTAGATATGTTGTTGGCACCACTTACATCAAGGAAGCTGATGTTGATGTGGAGGTCAATGTCCACGTCATCGATAGTTCCATATTCTCTACAGAGATACAGGGGACCACAGGTGAGACTCATTAAGGGAGAAAAAAAGGGAACAGAGACTGAGGTGGAGGGAGAACTGAGCTGGGGCCAGGAGAAAGGGAATGGTAGAAGGTAGCTCTGTACCTAGGCTCTTAGCTACAGCCTCAAGCCACCTAATAATCAGGGCCTTCTCCAGGCAAGAAGCCTTTCTTACCTCAAAGGTAAAACTACCAGTGTAGAGGAGTCTAGGATAAGAGGGAATTCCTAAGAAAAGTGACTATACTTCCCTACTTACTCCTGTCAGCCAAACCTAACTATCACTAAGCTCATAATTTATCAATGTCCACAGATCCCCTATCATACCATAAAAAGAGAAAACCTACAGCTCAAAAAGAAGTAGCTTACTCCCCTGCCATCCCTGAAGTGGAGTCCCACCTGATGGATACAGAGTTCTCACTGTAGATCTCCTTCACAGCTTCAATGTCTGCATCAAGCTGTGGGTGTCGATATAGGTCAGCTGCACAGCTTCCCTGAGTCAGCAGCAAAAACAGCAAGGGGTGGGGAGGAAGTCAGAGGGGTAAGGAGAGAGGTGAAAAATAGAAGGATGATGAAGAAATACCAGGAAGAGGAAAATCAAACAGCAGCAGTACATATAAGCAAAAAGCTATGTTCACAAAGGGGCTCTTGGTGGCAGCCCCCTAGCTGGGGATTTCACTGACAGACCAGTCTCCCTCCATCACCACTCTAATTTCAATAGACAACTGCTTAAGGAGTTCACATCCTCAAGTCTTAGCTTTTCCTCTCAGACCTTGACCAGAATACTTAGGTGTCCCTTCTATGAGAACTCAAAACAGACCGAAGAATACAGACTTCAACTAGATGAATTCTGTCCAAAGAATCCAGCATTCCTGCTCAGGATTGTACCTTGGGTACAGATGGCATTAAGCAATCGCTGGCAGGGTAATTTTTTAAATCCTCACCTGAGGATATATTTTTATTGATTTTTTTAGAGAGAGTGGAAGGGTGAGAGAAACAACGTGAGAAGAAATATCAATTGGTTGCCCCTGGTATGCACCCTGACCAGGGATCAAACCCACAACTTAGGCATGTGCCCTGACTGGGAATTGAACCCACAACCTTTCAGTGCACAGGACGACACTCCAATTGAGCCACCTGGCCAGGGCACTGGCAGGGTAATTTTAAACAAAATTTTACTGTAATGACTGAAATGATCCCACTGGCTAGTGAGGGAAGAATCAGAAAATAATTATATCCAAGTAAGAACATATGGGTAGCCTCCATGTACAGAAGATGTAGTTTACTCTAGGGAAGGTATGAGTCCAGGCAAGAGCAAGGACATATCAGCTCTGACAAGATAATGCTCAGACCACACTAACATTGTATCTGATCCAAAATAATCTTTTGCTCCTAATGTATCCAGAGAAGCACATTTTTACCATCTAGCATGGATCTTAGGTGCTGTAATCTCACCTGAACTCCATAGAGAAATTCCTCTGATTCATTATCTCCCTCCGAATCATCATCATTCCAAAACTGGCCTTTGATGTCCTAGTAATGAGAAATAAGGATAAAACCCTTTGTTGATTCCTGTTACCCCATGGAACAAAGTGCGGTGACAGGGTGGGAAATAGATTCTCAACAAAGAATGGGAGAAGGTCCCTTGGGATAACATATTGAGTCCCTAATCCTTTCACCTCATCCTTTGGGAGCATCTGAGTCTCTTCCTGAATATGGTCATATCCATGGTCTAGCTCTCATTTGGTGGGATGGAGAAAAACAGTACGGAATTTTGGCTTTCTTTTTGCTTTTTTAATCCTCACTTGAGGATACTTTTCCATTGATTTTTTTTTTTAAGATAGAGTGGGAGGGAAGAAGAGGGAGGAAAACGAAGAAAGGAAGAGGGAGAGAGAGAAAGAAATATCAATGTGAGAGAGACACACCAACTGGTCACCTCCCACACAGCCCTGGGAGGCCAAGGATTGAACCTGCAACTGAAGTATGCACCCTTGATTAGGAATCAAACCCTCAACTCCTAGGTCCGCGGGCCAATGCTCCAACTGCTGAGCTAAACTGGGCCAGGACAATTTTGGCTTTCTTAAGTGTTGGGTATGATTGTGGGTCTAATAGCCAGAAGGGGTAGGGATGAAGAAAATTGAAGAAAAATTCAATGTCAAGGTTGGTTCCTAGGCATATCTAGGTTCTATAAGCTAGCCTCTTCTAGAATCATCTAGGGACCCAAGGCAGCTCCAGAGCACACCTAAACTCTCTTATCTCATCACTCCCTTTCTATCCTTTTCCTTCCTAAGAAAACCCACCTCCACACACCAAGTAATATTGTTTCCATTACCCTTCTCCTTCCTTTAACTTCAAAGAGCCACTCTACTTTCCAAAAAGATGGGAGGGAAAACACCAGGAAAAGATCAGGTCTACACTTTGTCCTATCTACCCCTTGGATAATCAGTTGCATAGGTGGGTAGTAAGTCCTCACCATTGGGTCAGTGGGTCACACACACTCTGTCAGTGCTAGGCAGCACCCCTCCATACCACCAGCTGAACCCAGGCCAACGAGATGGGCATTTAGGAGGCCACAAAGGGAGACAAGGGAGGGGGGTGATGTCAGGGGCTGACTGGAGATCTGCTGTGGATGGCAGGCTCTGCTGTTGTGGTAGTAGCAAGTCACTGTCCTGTAGAAAGTAGACAACAATTGGTTTCATCATCACATAAAAGCTGGTGTGTATACACAAGCACACATGTTTATGGATACACTTTTATTATACATATGTACAGACACTTATAAAGAAACATACTTCCATAAATGTACACACACTTATACATCATTTTTTAAAGATAATGAACTGTGAAAACCCTATAGAAACATAAGACATTACTGTTCCATGTAAGCTGGGGAATTGGGACTGGAGCAAGTCCCTGCTCTAGTTCATAATGCTGTATCAACCGTGAAGCCAAAAATGATGGTGGCAGGACCAGATGCTTATGCTACTCTATTCATATCAGTTCATCTAGAACACTTTTCACAGTACCAGCTTCCATAAGAATCAGATTCTTTTGGAAGTTTTTACCCCAAATTTATTCTCCAAGTTGAGTCATCTATGATTAAACATTAGGAGCACTAGAAACCTTTATATGACAATCATAGCTAATTAAAAAAAATTTTTTTCTTCATTGATTTTAGAGAGAGAGGAAGGGGGAGAGAGAGAGAGAAACATCAATGAGAGAGAACATTAATAGGCCACCTCCCGCTTGCCCCCCACTGGGATTAGGCCCACAACCTGCACATGTGCCCTGACCAGGAATTGAACCCACGACCTCTTGGTGCATGGGCTGATGCTCAGCCACTGAGCCACACCAGCTGGGCAATAACAGCTAATTTAAAAAGTCCTCAACAATACTGAACACCCCCTCTGGTAGACACCGTCTGAGCTGTTATGGCCAAAATAATGCCCTGGACTCATCTTGGAACCTATTCCCTAAACAAAAATGCAATAATGATCCCAATAAATGTTCAGAAGAACACAAACCTCTAGTCCTTTCAAAAAAAGTGAGAACCGCTGTTCTAGGCCTTCCTGGCTCTGCATATATCTCAGTCTCACCCACTCTAACCTTAGGCAGAGGGCTTCTTGTTCTCTAAAATGGCTGAACCTTAGGTTTCTAGATCAGTGGTTTTTGAGTGGGCTTTATGTGCAGCATCAGTACCACCAGGGAACTTGTTCATGCAAATTCGAAGACCTACTAAATTGAAGATCTACTGAATTACAAACTCCAGAGAGGGAGGCCAGTAGTCTGTGTTTTAGCAAGCCCTCAAAGTTCTTCTGATGCATTAAATTTAAGAAACACTGTTCTTAATCCTTGTGTGTCCCAAGGGCCTGTGGTTTTTTTCCTCAGATACCAACTTAAGCCTGGTAACTGACCCATTATGGGGACATAAGGCACAATGCCAGGGCAAACAGCATAGCAGTCCCCCAGCTGACAGCACTGCCTGATTCACTGAAAATGATAAGCAAAAGGAAACTGCAAGTGAAGTTCTTAGAGATGAAATAGCCTCATGTCTGAGATCTGCTTTAAAATACTACTCCAGCACAAAAAAGGAGGGAGGGATAGATTAAATAAATACGGCAAAATGACAATTATGGATGAAGCTGTTTGACAGGTACATGAGGGCTTCTTGTACTCTAAACTTTTGTGAATAGTTGGAAAATTTCATAATAAAAAGTTTTTTAAGAGTCTCCCTAAAAAGTCAACTCTAAATATGAACAGGAAGATTTACCCCTGAGGCTCCACAACTGCCTCTTTGTTATTCTTCAAACATACCAAGCATATTCCCATCACAGGGACTTTGTCCTGCTGTTCACCCTTGTTGGAATGTTTTCACTTAGATATCCACATGACTTGCTCCTTCACTCTTTCAGATCTCTGCTCTAAGGTAACCCTTACCATCCTATATAAAACAGCAAAACCCCAACACATGCACACTAGCACACTCTATCCCCCTTCCCTGCATTATTTTGTCCCACAGCACTTATCATGCTCTGACATACAAAATGTTTGTTGTGTTTATCTTCCACCACAAATTAAGGTCTACGGTGGCACAGGCTTTGACTATTTTTACTGTCTCTACTGACAGTCTCTCAACACATATTTATTGAATGAATACATGAATGAACTGTCTGTTGGATACCAAAGCCAAAGGGCAAATACATACAAGCACCTAAATGCACCTAAACATAGACAAAAATCATACAAAAAAGATTTTAAAAAGCAAGACTCCATTCACCTTCAAGAGCAGCTGAGAACCAGAATTTGAAGATTTGGGTGCTGGGTTTGTGAGACTTGAAAATAAACAGTCAGGTGCTAATCTGGATGATCACAGAGGAACCAAGAAGGAGGCACTAATGTCCAGCCTCAGCTGTCTTGGGCTGGATGATGGCAGAGTAGGCCAGAAGTACTAAATTTCTCCAGGTCTTTGTCACTGTAGAAGTCAAGAAACACTTAGCCTCTCTCCAAGGGCTGTTGTTACTTGGTTTCTGCTGTTAACACAAAGAGAAAAAGGTAGTTCAGAGAGAATTTTTCTTGTCCAGGGAAGAGACAATTCAGAGACTACCATCTTTTCCAAAACAGGCTGTTTCAGTAAAACATACTCCCCACCTTCTACGGGCAATGCCCAAACCTCTCAAAAGATGAAGAATGGTCCTGGCCAGTTTTGCTCAGTGGTTAGAGCGTCGACCTGCAGTCCAGAGAGACCCGGGTTTGGTTCCCGCTAAGGGCACGTACCTCGGTTGCAGTTTGTCCCTGGCCCTGGTTGGTCGTGTGGGTGGCAGCCACTTGATGTGTCCCTTTCACATCGATGTTTCTCTCTCTCTCTCTCTTCCTCTCTCTCCCTCCCACTCTATCTGAACAAAAAGTGGAAAAATGTCCTCAGGTGAAGATTGAAACAAACAAAAAAAAAGATGGAGAATGGGTTTAAAAGGTGAAGTGTGGGAGCCCGGCCAGTGCTACTCAGTGGTTGAGCATCAACCCAGGCACCAGGAGGTCACCAGTTCAATTCCTGGTCAGGGCACATGCCCAGGTTGTAGGCACAATCCCCAGTCGGGGGCATGCAGGAGGTGGCCAATCCATGTTCTCTGTCATCCATGTTTCCAGCTCTCTCTCCCTCTCTCTAAAAAAATCAATAAAGAAAAATAATTTTTTTTAAAGGTGAAGAGTGGGAAAATGGGAGTGGTGAATCATGAAATTCAGAGAATCACAGACATTTTTCAAGAGGAATAAACCTGAAAGATGACCTATTTCAAAGCTTTCATGTTATACATAGAATACTCAGGTGTAGGGAGGTCAAGCAACTTGCTTAGGAGTACAGAGGAACTGGAACTTAAGCCTATTTGACAGGTCTTCATTCCATCCAACCCTCATGTGATGTGGTTTTAACTACTTAAAGGAGTTCATAATGAATTAGGCAAGAAAGACCTGATTTATCCAAATGAGGTAAAGGAAGGACCCTTTCCAAAGAAGCTGGGCCAAACAGACTGTGCGGACAGTGCCCAGGGAGGGGTGTCGTGCAGCTCGGAGCTTAGTGTGGATGATGGCAGCCAACAGAACGCTTTATGAATTTTCATGGGAGTAGGCCAAATGTAAATAAGTCTCGGGTCTGGATCACAAAGATCTCTCCCTGGTCCACAGGGGTTTCTCGGTGTGACAACTTTACATCTAGTCAAAGACCTAAACGTGTCAAGTCGGCGTCTGACTCCCAGCTCCGTGGTCTCGGGCAGGGAGGTTACTCCGCTCCACACCGAGTGCTCCCTTCTCCGAGGGACGAGGCCACTGACAGTGCGGGGGAGAACCACACAGAGCGACTCTCGCGGACCAGCGCTATCTCCGGTGCCCCACAGACGGAGGAAACGGGGTCTGTGCCCCAAACACTAGCTGCCACCGCGCTTGCAGGTCAGGCCCCGAGGCCTCCCTTCGGGGAGTCCCCGATCTCCTCCGGAGACCCCAAGGACACCTGACCCCTGCTTCCCCGGGAAGAAGCTCTGTGCCCTCTGTGTTGCCCGCCGTTCGGCCTTGAGGGAAGCCTGTCAAGCCTGGGAGAGCGCCTCAGGGCCACCCGGTTCAAGACCCTCACTTCATCCACCCGCTGGCGGGGCGGACCCTCACCCTTCACGCGGCCCGGCCGCCCCGCCCCTCCCCGTGGCAGCCTCTTCACAGGCCGGCCTCGCGAGTACTCACGGCGACCCCGGGCCGCGCGCGGCCGCCGCTGAGGGGACGAGCGGCCCGGGACGCCCCGCGGGGGCGGAGCGGCAGATCAGGGGGCGGGGGCCGGGCCGGGAGGGCGAGGTCGCGCTTCCCCACGCCCCGTCGTTCCGTCACGGGCGCGCTAAGCCACTCTGCGCACGCGCGCGCGGCGATACTGTGACCACGTGGCCCACTCCGGACCAACCACCTAGCGGCCTGCCTCTGGGCGCGCCACTGCTCCGGACGCTAGGCTCGCGGAGCCTGCGCGGTGCTAGCTGGTGGGGTGGGGGTTGGGGGTGGGGAAGGGATGCAATGGCAGGGGAGCTAGTGGGGGACGGGCGCTGCGCCGTGAATAAGGGCTGGTGCGTGGAGCAACAAGAGGGGCTCTGCGGAGAGCCCTCCAAAAGAGACCTTGGCATTTGGCGCCCCGTGCGGTTGGGAGGAATGAACAGGAAGGCAAACCGTGGCTGCCTCTGGGCGTTGGCAGTCGAGCGAGCACATGGAGGTTGAGAGGGGCCTCCTGAGGCCCTGCTGATTCTAAGAATCTCTGGTTTGTAAAGGGAGTCAAACACTTAAGGGTTTTTAAAAATGGTTAAGTTTAGTACATTTACTCCCCCGGCAGCTGCACGCTGGCATTCTATTCAGACAGTGGGGTTGTGAAGGAAAGGGGCAACATAGTAAATGGGACAAGTTCAGGGGGCTGCTTGGCAGGCCTGGCAAACTCAGTGAATACACAGGATGGTTTGATCATGAACTCCTACCACTGCAGGTTGTGGAAGGTCAATTTTACCTTAAGTGAGCCCTGCCCATTGTTTTTATGCATCTAGGATAACACCCTTGAAATGTCAGAGTAATTTTCTATTCCAGACCCCCTCAGAGGCACAACCTTTGGCACAAGACCTTAAAATCCCACGTTGTTATGTTGTTGCCTGCATACCATCATTATTCACTGTAAATCTTTTTTCATCTCTTTAAGAATTTTCAATTACATTTGACATACAATATTATATTCGTTTCAGTTGTACAACCCAGTGATTAGACATTACATAATTTATGTGATCATCCTGATAAATCTCATACCCATCCAACACCACACCTAGTTACTAGAATATTATTGACTATATTCCTTCCCTATGCTATACTTTATATCCCCATGACTATTCTGTAATAACCAATTTGTACTTCTTAATCCCTTCACCTTTTTCACTTACCCCTGAAACCCCCTCTCATCTGGCAACTGTCAAAATGTTTTCTGTATCTATGTCTGTTTCTGTTCTCTTTTGACATTTATTTTGTTTTCTTAGATGCAATTGTTGATATATGTGTATTTATCACCATTTTATTGTTCATATTTTTATCATTTTTTTTTCTTAAATAAGACCCTTTAACATTTTATTGTAATACTGGTTTGGTGGTGATTAACTCTAGATTTTTCTTGTCTGGGAAGCTCTTTATCTGACCTTTGATTCTAAATGACAGTTTTTGTGGGTTTTTTTGGTTAATTTCCACCCGAGGATATTTTTCCATTGATTTTTTTTTTTTTTTTTTTTTTTTTTTTTTTAAGATAGAGGGGAAGGCGGGCAGGGCAGAGAGAGAGAGAGAGAAACCCCCTGCAACCCTGACCGGGGCTGGGGATTGAACCTGAGACCTAACGCTCTAACCTCTGAGCCAAACCAGCTAGAGCTCTGTTTGGCTTTTGTACTGGGAGAGTAGGGGTATGCATTGGGACTGGTAGGGCCTGAAAAGTCCATATTTTAAATATTTTTCAATGAGAGTTATGATCCCTTTTATGGCCTCAGGTTTTAGAGGGTGCTGTCTCTTGTTAGGGTAAGTACCCCTGGTTTTAGGGGTATTTTTTTTTCTTTATTGATTTTAGAGAGAGAGGAAGAGAGAGATGGAAACATCGATGAGAGAGAACACTGATGGGCCGCCCTCCACTCCGCAACCCAGGCATGTGCCCTGACCGGGAATTGAACTAGCAACCTCTTGGTGCATGGGTCAACACTCAACCACTGAGCCACACCAGCCGGGCCATTTTTTAGGGATATCTTGATGGGGATACATTCGTTGCCCTCCCTGGTTTTTCAGTTTTAGGATTGACTTGGATGAGGACAGATTCTGGAATATTATTAATTTCTGATTCAGGGTAAGAAGTTGGTCATCAGACATAACAATAAGGGTTCATTATCTTCTATGCCTAATGTTCCTAGTGTTATGGTAGTCCCTAGACTGGACAAGATGTCCTTCCCTGGAACTACAAGCAAAGCATGATTAGAAGCAAGATTTCTGAGGCAGCAGTGAGGGGTTGAGCTTTGAGGATGCCCATTTACTCCAGAGATCAAACAGGTTTGGGGAGAAAGAGGTCCAGGTGAGGAAGTCAGAGTAGAATAAGCAGCCCCTGTATCTAATAAAAATATAATGGGCTTACTTGCCATGTCAAGGGTTACCTGAGGCTACTCTGGTGGGATGGTATGGATGTTCAGCGGGGAAGGTGGGAGGTCTCAGGCACCATCAATTCTCTGGTGTTTTGACCATCATTGGTTTAGAGGTCCTAGGTTTCCTTCAGTGCTTAGGATAGTTATTTTTCCGTGGCTCTCCTTCTTAGAGAGGGGGCATGGTGCTGGAGGCAGATGTGCCAGAGTCAGTTGTGAGCACTCCTTCTTTGTGTCCTTCTTGTCCACAGAAATAGCTTTGCCCCTTTGATGTCCCTTGTAGCCTGGAGGCCTGGTAACCCTGAGGTGGCCTAGGACTTAAAGCTAACAAGTGGGCCTTTAGTTTCCATTGGGTGGCATTTTGTTCTTCCACTGCCCTGTCTCAGTTGTTAAAAACACAGAAAGTCATCCATACCAGTTGCTCAGTGGGGGTCTGGGTTTCCATGGCTAGTTTCTGTAATTTTCTCCTGATGTCTGGGGCTGCCTGCTGGATAAAATGCATCCCAAAGTGCTGGGCCTCAGCAGACTCAGGGTCTTTATTTGTGTAGTTTTGTAAAGCTGCTGTTAATTGTCCCTGAAAAAGGGTGGGGTTTTCATCCTTTTTCTGAATAACCTCTTATTTTATCATAATTAACAGGTTTAACAGTGCATCTTTTCATCCCCTCTGGCAGTCCCTTCCCTCTTGTCCTTCATCTGACCTGGTTTGATAGACCCAGTTAGGGTCCTGATCTGGGACTGCATCTCTCCCTGGCCAGTATATGTGATGTTGAGCATGATGACTGGCTAATTCATCAGCATAGGTCCTAGTGGCTCCTATTATGCGCTGCTTTTCATCTACAGTGCAGCAGTGGGAGAGAACGATTTAAATCACTCCAAATCAGGTCATAAATCAGTGTCAAGTGACTAA